AAATCATCAGACGGCGGCCCCTTTGTTACGTTCGCGAGGAATTCGAAAGCACGAAGCAGAACCGGAAATCGAAAAACTGCAAAGCGAAGGATTTCGTGGAACGCGCAACCTCGTACCGGGAATTGGCATTTCCCTCGAGCTTTTCGATAGAGCCAATATTTACCCTCGGTCTTAATGTCAGCGTAGCCCGTTGCCAAAACTAACATACGAATCGGTTTGCCCGTAAACACCAATACCGAGCCGACACTCGACGATCGAATCGAATCGAATCGAATCGAATCGAATCGAATCGAATCGAATGAATACGAATATAGATATCCTGGGATCACTTCGCCGATAATCGAGTGTCATGAAACGAGAACAGACATCTGTGAGTGTGATTCGAAGATCAGACGGTGTACTGCTTTCAATGCTACCATTTTTCTTTCATTTACATCTGCCTTTCAAATGTTTCCTTTATTTAACCCTTGAACAGCAAAGTTGGGTCAATCGTGACCCAAACTTACAAAATGTATACTAGAATATTAACAATTAAAATTAAATGCATAAATTTTGAATAAAGGGAAAAGTGAAGGTAATTTATTGATCGGCAATTTTACACAGAAGTTACCGGCTATTATCTCGTGATTGAACACGACGAAGAAAAATTGGACAATATCCCATATTACCCTGGGTTTCGCGCCATTATTAAAGTAGCCAATGCAAGTGCAAACACGAGTTAGCTCGTGACCAGTTAACAATGCGTTAAATTAAAATTACGCCTCTCTCCGTGGTTCGCTAATTCTAGTAAGGTTTTTAAGAATACATCAACGGATATCATTTACCCTGTGGCAGCTTTTCATCGAAGCCGACTGTCAACCAAAAACATTCATCTCTCTTCAGAATTCATCGAACGAAGGCATCGTAACGAGAAACGAGTTCACGGTGATTGATGAATCCTCAAAGAGTGATTCGAAGTAAAAGCACTGAGCCGCGCACAAAGATTCGCGAGAACAATTTTCAGATGTATGTAATCGTAATTCGGGATACCTGCTTGTGAATATCAACGTTGAAATACAGACGGATACGTTTGTCCATCTGTTTGTTGACGGTCAGGCTGGGGGGGATAACCGTAATCCGAGGTCACGAATTGACGACGTGTATGATCGATGTAAACGCGGCATGTAAACAGGCATAGCCGTACGAAACGATCGATCTCTTGCCCTTCGAATGTGATAAAATCACTTCTTATTACTATATTATTCAATTTAATAACCTAGCTTTCTTATAAAAGACTATCTTAATCGTTTATTCTTAAAAATAAATTTCCAAAAGTGAAGTATTTTTATAACTATTCAATATGGTCCTTGAGTATCTAAAAATAGATATATTTTGGAAATTGAGAATGGTTTTTTTCATATTTATTTGCTATTTCGCTATTTCGCTATTTCGCTATTTCCAAAAAATAGTTCGCGAATTTCGTTAGGCAACATAATTTCGCGATAAAATAAATTGTCCGATAATAAATTGAATGGTGGCAGCAAATTCGTAGCAGAGCTTGAATCGCGTAACGCTGCGACCCGTAAGTGCGTAACTGCGTTCACAATCGATCCCAAGTTAACTGAATGTTTAACGAGTTCCCGTTGGAACGGTGGCTGTTTTGTAATCGGCATTGTATTCGCAGACGAAAAAAAAGAGCTGGATAACTTTCATCCAGGTTCAAGATAAAATCGAACCGTGCGTACAGATGATTAAATCGCGAACGAAACGATCGAACGCAATGAAAAACGAGGAAACAGTAACGAAACCGAAAGACTTCACCTCCTGTATATTTTATAAAAAAGAAATGATCGACAGTTTATTATCGTCGATTATTTCACAGACAAAATATAAAATCGTATCGTGTCATCGACTCGTTTAAAACCCTCCTCTCCTTCTTTTCTTCTTGATTCTTTTCTTCTTTCTATAAATTTTTAACACGCGACACTCGATCAAACGCTGAGACCTGACATATTTCTAACCGTGACGTGACGCACAGAAACACTTCTACACCCTCCACGATAAATCACATGGTATACAGAGTAATAAATTGCACCAGTCTCGGCTCTTAAACGTTTGCAAAAAATAAACGAACGCTTTGCTTAGAACGCGTCGAAAATTTCCTCACGACTAGACTGTCCGGATTTAACTGTACTACAATTGATTAACACGTTGATTGCTCTGACACCTCGAATGTAATGCAATCGAATAATTAACGCGTTGACTGCCGCAATGGAAATGACCGTGTGCAGTCAGACACGTTATAATTACAATTATTCAAAGTGCGATCATTTCATTTTCGTTTCTAGAATTAAGCTTTTTATTTATTAACATTCACGAATAATGTTACATCAATGGCATGGAAAAATTTAAATATCGTTGCAAATGTTTGCTAGAGTATTGATCAAGGAACGAACACGGGAAAGATGATCTTCTCGCGATTCAGCATAAAATGATTAGAACGATAAGAGGCGGTTCCTTGGTCGCGCGACATGCACAACTAGCCTGGCACGAACGTTGCATTATTCAGCACGGAACCAGGCGAGGAAAATGTTTTGATTATCCCGAGAAGGCGCGTGCATGGATTCTCAGAGCTATCGAAATTAGTTACAACATTCAAATAATTAACGAAAATAACCTCAGCTGAACGATCAGATTCGAAACTGTGAAACCTTGATTTTGATAAAAAATAGAATATAACTAATCACTTTAGTAAAGAGTTATAAATTAAAAGGAAATGAATTTCCTTGCTTAAAAGACGTATCATAAGGAATAATGAATACTTAACCGTTTTGAAATTCGAAAATTGAGGATAGAGGTTACTCGATCGGTGAATCGTCCTTGTGTACACGAAAACAAACGAGAATCGCTCGGTCGTGTTTACACGCGTTGACAATATTCTAAATCAGCCAGGCCTAATTGCGAATCCCGCGATGAAGCCGTTCAAATTACAATAGATTCGGTCTCGAGTTTGGTAACTTAACGAGAACGAAACACAGCCGCGCAGTCAGAAATGGTAACCCAAAAATAGTCCCAATTAGTCACGAAAACATACTTGCAATTTGTATCCTTGAATTGAACATTGATAACCTCGCAACCTGACGTTATTAATCCTTTGGAAACATTTTATATTTGAAAGATGAGGTATATCGGGTATAAGTTGAAACGTCGCGCCATTGATTGATAGCCTGCACTTAACGCGAGCAGACGGTCTGATCACCATACCCAATACTACTTGGCAGCGTTTGGCCGCATAGGAACGTTCAGTGCCGTCCGGCTCCGTCTTAAAGCGGTTAATACTACTATTATTTTTATTTCATTCACCCGGCCACCCGGCTAACGTCGATGGCCTATAATAATTCGATTAACCGCTTTTCGAATAATCAACGATTTTACTTAGTAAAATAAATAATCTGGAGTATCGTGATCGATAAAAATAAAATAGAATAGAAAAAGCGGCAATAACAAGGCATCCAATCGGAGCGTCCAGGTAACACTGTGTAACGCGTGCTCTACGCGTGCTCTACGCTCCATGTTTATCGACCGTGCCACAAACTCTCTCAAAAAGACGCGGGGTGTGGTCAGAAATTTTCCTTCTTCCCGTGTGCATGGGTTGGGGCCAAAGAGATTCCTCGGCTACGAGTCGAGGTCAGCCGAGGTCACGGATGACACGAGACTCGTACCCTTAAGATACCTACGGAAGCATCGTGACTCCTAACCTAGATTAGAGGAAAGACCGCGTGATATTTGCAGTCATTTTCCGGTCGTCAGCCTGACGATTGTGCTTGGCATCGATGATTAACGACCTTCCAACGAGAAAACTTAATAATTTTCGGCTAGTTTATGAAAACAATCATGATAAACGCTTTGTAATTGTGATAATTAAGATAAAATAGGATAAACCTTTGAGAATCTATCCGATAGATTCTATCGTAACGTTTATCGTATCGTGGATAGAGAGGAAGAAAACAATGCGCGAGGAGATCTGGTAACTTTTAGGGACAACGTCGTGCAAGACTGCAACCACCTGCCGTCGGTGAAACGGGGACGATAGAATGGTTGCGGAGGAACGATAAAAAGAAAAGGCAAACATGCGATTGTGAAAGACAGCCGGTGAAAGAGAAACGGGAGATAAAGAAGATGGTAAAAAGGAACGGTAAAGAAGAGAGAAAACACTAAAGCGCGAGAAAGAGGTCGAAGGAGGGGGATGAAGGTAAAAAGCGGCGCGACGACATCGTATTGATTCGGTGACAGATCCGCGTACGATGCGGATGCTTCGTTTTCGACGGTGAGACCACCACGATGGCACAAGACACGATAGCAAGCGCCCTGACGCTTTATATATAGAGCTTGAGCCACGAGCAGACAGGCCGTGCCGCTTAAATATAGACGAATTGCAACGGGATGTCTCTATCGAGTAAGCAAGGGACACGGACGCGTAAGAACGAAAACGACGAGATTCGCGGTAGGAGAAAGTTGAAGAGAAAAGCGAACGATAAACGTAAAGCGGGGACACAGAAGGTAGAGAGGAAAGAGCCTCCGCATACGTAGAGAATAATCATGGCCGACGCGACACGGCGTTGTCTGCTAGGAATCACGCTAAACGGATCGTCACTCGCGTGTCCATCTATGACACGAGCAACGAACCGGCGACGAGGTACCAGTTAATCGGTGACACTAGATACATCTCGACATACGAAACGCTCGTGACACGAGCGAGCGTGTAACACACGCCGACAATGCACAATGGAGATGATACAACGAACGAACGAACGAGCGAGCGAGAGAAAGAGAGAGAGAAAGAGTGATGGAAAGGGAGAGGGACGTGTATGTATATATGTATACATGAAGATAGAGAGAAACGAAACAAACGTCATAACACGCGGAAACCTCAGCCTGATCTCTCTTTCTCTGTACGTTCGCTTCGTTGCTCGGTCGTATTCTATTTTTTAATAAATAATTTGAAATGTTTTTTTACTTACTTGCCCAGTTCCTCCTTAAGGTCGTAGTTGTCACTAAACCGCGTGCAAGCGGTCGGAGTAGCCATGCCGAGGTATCGCGATTATTTACCGCACTAACCGAGCAACGTAAGCGCGAGAGCCACTGCCGGCCGCCACTACCGCACACGCTAGGGGAAACTTCGCAGGTCAAATTCGATCAATAGAGGGGAACCGCCGCGGCGCTGGTAGAACACCGGGTAACCGTTCGGGAGGGAGGGTCGTCGGGCCGGGCAGAGGGGAGGTGGTTTCTGTCCGCGGGAGCCGTGCGTTACCGTGGCACCGACGGTGGGGCAAATCGCGGTCGTGCCAGCAAATATTTGCGGGCAACAGCAATCAGATCCTTTCACGACGCATCCGCACTGCTCGCCGGCAGACCGTCGACTGACTCGCGTAGTGGTGGTGGCTCGCGACTGCGCACAAGCGACGATTCGCTGCTGCCGCTACCGCCAGCAATGGCGACCACGACGCGAGTATGTGTATAAAACCTAGTAACGGAGCGACGATCAACAACGATACCACTGCCGGCAGGGCTGACGATACAGCTCCTCTACCAACCCGTTCAAGCGCAGCCAACCTAGGCGAAATAACCCAAGGGGATCGAGGCAACACATTTAAATTTAGCACCTGGAATTATGCTTGATCACGCGGCTAACTTTTCAGGATCACGCTTCATGCCACAATTTTCTTTTTCTATTCGTTATTTTTTCTTCTCCCTTTTTTTTCTCAACGCAACGTAACGATACCGCGACCATACGCGTGAGATATATTCTCGTTTAACGAAAGGTTCGTTAGAAATTCGATGTACGAAAAAGTAATCCGTTTGAAATTGTTTCGAAATATTGAATAGTAATCGCAGCACCGGTTTTTTTTTTTTTTTTTTTTTTTGTTTTAGGTTTTTCACGATCTCGACGACCGGAAGGAGATGTGACCGTCGCTGGTTAGACGGGATACCGCGCACTGACTCGATCCCGCATGTCCGACATAAACACAAGATTTACTACTGGCGCATACGCCGTCCGAACGGAGTTTCGGTATCACTTCGATCGGTTTTTTGGCGCACGTCCAATTAGAATGATACAACGAGCATAGATCTCCGAGAAATTAAAACAGATTCGAACTTATAGATGATAGACAAATTTTATTCATATTTATCATGAATATAAAAGAAGTGGCATCATTAAATTAAAAAAAAAAATGTTTATTTTTAATTATTTGAAAATTGTTCAGAGAACTCACCGATACCCTTTCTTTCTTATAATATATTTCAATTTTTGTTTAACAATTTATTTTCCGTACATTTACATTCCAATTATAGCCGTTTTTTCTCAAAGAAAGTTTTTCTTTTCTTATTTCTTAAACTCAGTTACAATATAAATACATGCATTCTATTCTGAACGCATGGTATAATAGCTTAATGCGAATAATATGCATGCTCACTTTGAATATTCATTGTTCTAATTATTGGTATCACTACTGTATATTTAATTGAAAATATTATATCTGACTTCATAGGTATTGCCAACACCTTAATTACTCTGTATAAAAGTTTGCATTTATTCTTGGATCATGTTATCTTGCAAACAGTAAACGTTTCTATTATTAAAAAAATTTCTGCTGGATGCAATTCATGTTTACATAATTCTAAAGTTAGAAGTGAATATACACCGCGTCGATAACAAAATTCTCTTAACTTTTAATGTGTCTTCCGTAAAAAACTTAAAGGGAAAGTATCAAATTTCATCTGTTCCTCTAAAATACTGTACAAAATACGAATTTTTGAATGCATACAAATCACTCCATTACACCAAAGTGAACACCGTACCGATTACCATCTCTATAAATTATTGTTTCTACCCATTACCTAATTCTCTGCGTCCATTGTGGCTGCGTTTCCGTTTCAATTGAAATTTATGATACACACATATATGTATATATATATTCACATGCACACCCATACGTACACTTTTCAGAATGATACACGTAAACCTCGTAGAACATGTTCGCGATACAACAACGTAATTTTACAACCGCAGTCTTATAACTTGATCAAGGAATAGAATCACGATTAGTCTGTAATCTGAAAAGCGTCATGTGTCCTTTGTTCCGGCTCTTATCGTATTGATATGGATACAAACAATCGTGTTAAATGCATTGGAATCATTAACTGCGAACCGCCTTCGTGTATTCCCATAATAAAGGAACGTTATCTTTGATTTTTAGCGGAGTAATCGTCTTGGATCGTTCAATTAAAGGCTAACGATGGTCCAAGTTTTTAAACTCTAATACACACGTACGATTATAAGAAATATCTGCTTCTAATTATGTTCGAATTCTAATACGAATACGAATCTAGATTTACGAATTATTTAGAAACCTGTTTAAATAGTGTGATCACTCGAATACTACGACGTGTTCCTATCAAAATCGCTCCTTGTTCATATATCATAACATTTTTATAACAGAGACGATTCTTAATCGTTTCAAGCATGGCTATGCTGTGTTCTGAAACATATTCACGATATTTTTAATTAACGTTTACTCGACGGTAACCGACTTTGCCAGGTTTCTGGGACAATCTACGTTGCAACCGCGGAGAACCGCGATATGGAAAGATAATAATTGCATTGGAATGACTGTGAGAATTCCTTGCAGGCAATCGACCGTTTTAGGCACTTCAAGAACTCTGTCCGCGAACATTTTTGTTTCTTCATCCCCTTCCTCGCATATGACGATCGGTTTGCCATCCCGGGCTGTGACTTGCTGCAGAGCGTTCATGCATTTCTGAAGAGAATAATGAATTTCAATGAATGCAATGTGCATTTGATGTACATTTATTTATGAAAGATTCTATTTACCACGTAAACGGGGTCCCTCATAACAATCATTATCACGGGCATGGAATCATCAACGAGTGCTAGGGGTCCATGTTTCAATTCACCTGCCATGATTCCCTCGCTGTGCATATAAGTCAATTCTTTCACTTTCTGCAAGTTAAGAAATTCTTCCTTTAGTATTTTAACCCTTCAAAATTAACTTCTTCTCCTCAACAAAGTCTTCATTTAATACATACCAATGCCCCTTCCATACAAGTGGCAAAATTGTATCCTCTACCCATAATGAGCAGAGATTTGTGCTGAAACAGAGACTTGGCCAGTTCTTTCACTTTCTCATCAAGTTGTAGAACCTGACGAATTAAGTTGTCCAAATTCTTCAATCCTTCAATGATCTACCAAAAGGAATATGTTATACACCATTATCCTTATTTTTGTCCTGAGACCTTCAAACTCTGCAGACGGTTCTAAGAATAGATAATACATACCTGCTGACGCCTAGCACCAAGAGAGATTCTATCCTCGCTCATAACCAGAGCGAACATAACGAGAGAAATAAATTGAGAAGTGTACGCCTTTGTACTGGCTACACCAATCTCTGGTCCAGCATTAATATGGACACCACAGTGGGACTCGCGACAGATGCTGCTACCAACAGTATTGGTAATTCCAACGATTAAAGCACCACGACCTTTACAGTAACGCAAAGCCATCAATGTATCTGCAGTCTCTCCTATCAGAAGAAAATAATAATTAGTAACATCATCTGAAGATTCTCAGTGGAATATTGATGAAAGTACAACTCACCAGACTGCGAGATGAAGAAACATACATCATCCCTGAACACTGGTGTATTTCTGTCTAAGAAATCAGAGGCTAACTCAACCATAACTGGCAGTTCAGTCAGCTCTTCCAAGAGTTGTCTGGTTGCTATAGCGGAGTGGTAACTTGTTCCACATCCAATGAGCATTAGACGCCTGCATCTCTTAATCTCAGGAATGTAATCCTAATGAAATAATGTATTAGAAGATATCAAATAAGATCCCATAAAATATTAGAATACCTCGTTTACCTTAATACCTCCTAATGTAACAGAATTATCTCGGAAATTTAATCGTCCCCTCATGGTGGTCACCACCGACTCGGGTTGCTCGAAAATTTCCTTCTGCATAAAATACTCGTAGTTGCCCTTCATGATTTGTTGGATCTCCATCTTCAGAGTGGTGATTTCTCTGGCATGCGGATCATCCATACATCGACGAAGTCGGTGAATACTGAGAGCACCCTCTTTAACAGCAGCAACATCATCGTCCTGATAACAAAACACACTTTGAGTTATTGGTAAATTTTATGCGGAATCAGGACTTCCAGGGTCTGAAGGTCTTCAAGAACATGTTCTGTTTCTACTGAATAAGCTTGTATCGGTAATTACAAAGCATTCTGTAATTTACCTCGAAAAATATAACGCGCTTCGTGTGTTCGATGACAGCACTAGCATCAGAAGCGAAGAAATACTCCACTTCCTTGTCCTCGAGGGGTTGAAACTCGGACGTGCTGTCACTGCGTGGTATTACCGGAAGTTCCGTAGGGCGGCCGTGTGGACGGTGATCTATGAAAAAGCAAACATTAATTCTGCTATACTATATCTATATATCTTGATAGTTAATAATATCATGTGCAATTCGCCCTCAATGATTTATCATCTTAAATACAAGTATTCTATTTTTATATACAAAAAGTACCGTGGTGGAAGCATATATAACAGAATTTTTTGTTTTTTTCTTTTGTTCATTATATTTTAAAATTTGCATCCTTCTACCATTGTCCTGTATATTTATATTGAAAGCGCTCTAACTATTTAATTCGAACATAAGTAAGAGAAGATATTACACTATTGTTTAATATAAATCCATATTTGAAATAGCACCTCCACCGCCATCTGGTAAAAACAATTTTTTTTTTTAATTCACTAAAATAGGCTTTTTAAATCTCAGATAGCGCTACTGGTGCTGTTTTTAAAATTCAAAATCGTATAAAAATAATAATTAATTATTATAATAATAACCAATTAATTATTTTATAAAAACGTAATATTTCCCTTTTCCCCACTGTTAATTAAGTAGTTACAGCACTTTGAGGAAGAATCTAAAGGGTAGTGGTAGAAAATGACCAATTCTAGAAGTAAATGAAAAATTAGGAAAGTTGCTTTTATATTCAGTTCTAAAAATGGTCATTTCCTATCATTTTTCTTTATAGCCATTGAATAAGAGACATGGCCGATACGCCATACAGACGCAACGCAAATAAAACGATAAAACTATTATAAAATAAACAATTCAATTCTCTTTGCGTTGCGTCATATTTTCATGTTTACAAGCCCCACACCGAATTAGGCAAAAATGTAATGAATAATACTGGTTAACAGCTACCTTGATTATTCTCCAATAGACCTGGTATTAGCAGGCGACATTAAATGAAAAAAAAGTGACACAAACACAATGGTTAAATGTTAACGTATATAAAATGCGATTTTATTAAATAGCCCCAATGTTGGACAATCTCGTTGAAGCTAGATAAGCTTATAACACCTGTTGATAAAAATAAGAAACACCTATTTAAACAAATAGAAAAGAATAGAAACAGTGGTCTATTTAGAAGTTTGGATCAGATATACAACAGCGCCAGCACTATTATCGCAACACGGTTCTTATTTCTTTCATTTCGTGTGAGAAAACACTTTTCTGTTTAAACCTGCGAAATTTGCGACAGTTTGACAGGCACTATTGCAATCTGCTCCTCCTCTGTTTCCAAACTGAAAGGAAAACGCATGGAAGTTAAATACGTACTGAATAAAAAGCGTGACGAAATACCGTAAGGCACGATGTGTGAATCCTTTAGACTAATCCATGAGATAACAATTTGCCATTCGATTGAAGCAGATATATGTATATGCGGTTCAAGATTGTCACACAGCGGTGGAAAGCGTGGCTGTGGGATATACATATTGTGGCAAGCGAAGGGAAAAGGAACGTATATGAATGTAAAGTATTACCTTTAGTTGGCGCTTCACCTTCTGCTCAAATTTGGAGGTGCGGAGGGGGAAGACGAAAAAGAAAACAAAACAATTAGCAAACAAGTAACGCAGTGACTAATAGCGGTACAAAAATATAACGACGAACGCAAAAAAGAGGAACAAGAATACGTAAAACGTGAACTAACTTGTTACCAGGTGTTTATGAAAAGATATTCGCAAGAAAAGTAACAGTAAAAAATTTATGATCGGTTCCAAGTTAATTAATTGATATCCGAAAATGAACATCTTTTCACAAAACCCTCCAATCACAAAGCTACGAGTGCGTAAGTTTCTATCAAGAATTGCAAACTAAAAAAAAAATGTTTATGAATAACGTTTACTGGAAAAAAATGTTTATTCAATAAATAAATACGATTAACTATTTTCCATTATGCTTGAAAGCGATTGAAAGTACAATATTATAATATTATAAGTTTTGTATAAAGTGTATTTTTATTATTATTTACACAAATCGACAAGTGGAATGAGCAAGAAAAAGCCAACGGTTATTTTTAATTAGAAAAGAAGCAAGAAATAGTAATTGACGAAAGACAGACAAGACGCATGGACACAAAATATTCGATTAGGAATCGTGTTTCTTGAAAGTTATAGCAAGAAAATTTTCCCGTGGAAAATTTTCTACCAAATACACGTAACAGGTATTAAGGGAAATTAGTATTGCATACATTTCACTGAACATTCAACCTTTCATAAGCATTGAATAAATTTTGAAATTACGAATGATACTACACTACAGTACGGTACAATTTAATATAGTGATTGTGTGGTGTAGTGTAATGTAGTGTGGTATAGTGCGGTGCAGTGCAGTGCCGTGTAGTGTAGTATAATGTAGGATAGGGTAGGGTAGGGTAGGGTAGTGTAGTGTAGTGTAGTGTAGTATAGTGTAGTGTAGTGTAGTGTAATGTAGTGTGGTATAGTGCAGCGTAATGCAGTGTAGTATGATGTAGCGTAGTGTACGTATCACATTAATAATCATACAAAAAACAGAAATATTCAATCTCAAGTGTAACATAGAAGATGAAAGGTTCAGTGTTGTCGAAAGGAAAATAAGATAAGTGTAGTGTAGTGTATAGAGTAGTGTATATACCTTTGTTTACGCATGGAAGGTCATCTGTTGAGAGACGGAAAGTTGGAGAACATAACCGGTAGGTGTTCATGCAAAAGAAACATCATATAGTATCTATCATAAAAAAAAACGTAATCACCGATGGAAATGTATAAAATTAAATTAACAAAATTTAACGACACCATGCTACTCAAACTTACTAGCAACATGCTAAGATGTTACAAACAAATGAAATACTACATTAATAAAAAATTAAGATGTTAAATATTTAGTCACAAGCAACTACGGGATAATGTAACGATATTTAACTCCGCGCCCTGTTAAACATTTGGCGTAAACAAGATACTTTTCTACTAGTATCGTTCAGTTTTGTTAATCATCGTGTTATCGAGCCAGACGTTTTCGCTCTGTTATGTTTTATTAAAAACACTGAACGGGAACGTAAAAAGGTGGTAATGCAATGATACGACTTAGTGTGTTATATCGAGGATAAAACGTAAATCCTTCTGGAAATACATGAGTTGTAAATATAAGATTACAACAGGCACATGCTATTAATGTTTCTGCAAATTACTTTCTACGAATGAGACATATATATAATTTACTTCCTTGTATGTTCACCAATTACCACAGCGATCCCTCCTTCCTTACATAGACAAGGAAGGGATAATTTAATGTCTAACGATTAGAAATGCCATCACACTTGATTTGCCTTTTACCCTTTGAAAATTATGTTTTAAAAAAGCGTTCATATTTCAATGCTGATACCGATACACCGTGTGTCGGTCAGTATTTTTTTCTCTATAGACCAGAAATAGCCTTGTGATTTTTCTCTGTATAAGTTTACCAATTTATGAAGCCAATCGTCTTTAATAAAACTCGTGCGAACACCGCCCACGTAATTGGACAGACTTACCTTTCCCGTAGAGGATGGGCACATGATCCGTGGCCAATGTTTTCGTTTTAATACCCACTAAAAGGGGCGATCCTCTTCTGGTTGCCACGCATTCGCCTGGGAAGTACTTACTTTTGAAGCAGAGAGCAAATGCTCCTTCCTGAAATATTAATATTTCCAGGTCTAAGTGTAATAAAATTGTTCAAAGCGATAGAGGTTTATATTTACCGGAGTAGTTTTCTAACTAGTGATGAAGTAATACTCACCAATTGTTGAACAACCTGTTCGACGAGTTCACGGAACGAGTAACCAGGATGCTGTACCCAGAAATGGTGAATGAGCTTCGCGATTACTTCCGTATCGGTTTCACTCTCGAAGGTGTAACCCCTCTGCTCTAAGAACGTCTTCACTTCCTTGTAGTTGGTTACGATACCTTCAAAACAATACAAAAATTAGTTACATTATATTAATATTAATATTAATCTTCTATCTAATTTTATGTATAATAATTTTTATTATTATAATAGAAGGTTAATAAATTCTTACCATTGTGCACAACTACGAAAGCATGATCGCTGTCTGACCTCTGAGGGTGCGAATTCACTTCTGATGGGACACCATGAGTCGCCCAACGGGTATGTGCGATTCCCACATGACTGCATGTTTTCGATTCGAAATCAATATTGGTACCTAGAAGAATTTAAATTATCATTTTATTTATTATTGTTCATTCCCGTCGTGTCTTCATTATCAAAAATAGTTTCTATACGGGGATTCGAATGAGTACCATGAACTGAAATGTTCTAATATATACTTACGATAAAAAATCTCGTCTTCAAGAGCCTTAACCTTCCCTTGCTTTTTAATAATGCAGATATCCTTGCCGTCGACGCTGTCAAGGGCGACGCCTAAAAGAAAATGAAACTTGCATTGGCGACCGTCCCTTTCATCGATTTCACTCTCTATTCCCGGAATCGGAGATGTCATAAATGATTCTTAGAATCTTTCTTTCGTAAAAGAAATTTCGACATCTTCTGAGGTACATAATTACCAGCTGAATCATAGCCCCTGTACTCCAATCTCTTCAATCCGCCAACCAGTAGCTCCAAAATTTCTTTCCTGCTTTTTGGCGTCAGGTAATTCAGGTATGCGAAAATTCCTGTGTAACAAAATAACAGATTTTGTAATTATATAGCAAGAAAAATATTTAGGTAGATTGATTTATGCAACAACCGCGTAACAATTTTATCAGACGATTAGTCACCCTTCACAGTGAACTTTCCCTACCATTGGAATAGAGAAAGAGAAAACGGTAGACCTTCGAATACCACGATTTTTCAATTCCTTTCGACTTTTCTTGTTTCTCTTGATAAGAGGTCGCGACTATGGAACGCGGAAATGATTTAAATCATTGACAAGGAATCTTTTAAGATAGTATTAGAAAATTAATTTTTAATAGTTTTCAGGAAAGCTGATTCTAACGTGACGTTCGAGGTCCTGCATGGCATTGCAAAAATGCAAAAAGTCGTTGCCCGTGAACGAACACAATCATGTTGTGTGTACAATGAAAACAGATAATTCTTAATTGTACAGACTCACAGGTGAAAGGGAAAGCTTTAGTGCATAAGAATGTACGAAATGCTTATTAGAATATTATTGTTATCCCATTCAGCCATATTCGGAATATTGTTTTCTATCTAATACAGCCGTCGATATTGTATCAATTTTCCATGTTACGATGACCATGGACGGTTAACAACATTTTACGATATAACGTTACGTTATTACGTTGCTGTCTCGAATCAGAATCGCGATCCGATCGTTCGATATGGAATTCTATCGGGTACGGTGTCTTACCGCGAGAATTTCGAAGTACATATCGAGTTCTAAACGAGGCGTTCAACTTAGAAACGGTTTTTAACCTGGAGAGCATTATGATACGCTTTCAAGTGACAGTAAATGGTAAGTTTCAATGGCATGACACGGAATATTATGACTTTTCTCGCATTGAAAAATCCAAGTCGATTTAGAGCACTGGATTTCTCGTCATCGCATCGAATTTCTGGTTTTATAGTCCGATATCGCGACAGAAAATCTAGTGTCGCGTCAATGCGATTTCTGACTCCCCCAATGACAATTTCACCACGGTAGATTTACTGTCATGACTATTCCACTGTAAATTAACCACTGTTACATTTCATATTGACCTTTAATGCTTAAATCTTTAGCAACGAAAAGATCAATTTCACCTGAAATCTAAATCGAAAAAGTTTACAACCTCCGTCAATAATTATCGCGACACTTGTAAAAAATTTCACAATAAGATTTCTTAATTGATCTTTCACTTTGATGTTAGTTCACTTATGTATTTCAATTTATTGAAATCACTCGCTGATGAATAAAGAAGTAAGTTGGGAAAATTGAAAATATTTTCCAGAAAACGTACCGCCCGACATTGGTCCGAAATGAAACGTCGTGGTGGAAAAAGCAACGTGATGTCTCGCACGGTTCGAACTAATAGTTAAAGAAAAAAATAATGATCGCGAGTTGCATGAATCGACCGAGTGTAATTCGATTTCGACTCCGACCTGCCAATAAACGATCGAGCGGATCGCGTCACGACTAGATTGTTCTTTGCAATTGTCGATAAGCGAATTTTCTTTTAGATGATACGGGTGAATCCTGACGAGGTTGAGGAAGGAAAAATCATCGAACCTGTAATCGAAGAGAGTGGGAAAAGAGAAGAAAAAAATCGTACATTGTACGTGAAACCGTAATAGAAGTTTCTATGTGTTGATAAACCTTTGTTCCGATAACACGCTCATGCTTATCACTAAGGTATTTTTTAACTCTTTGATTGTCACAATAATAATCACACCTGACATTGCACATTGATGTACATGGTATTAGAAGTGATTAAGTTTCATTTAGAGCATCGATAATTGTCAACATTGTTAATGTGATTTTGGCAATTTTTAGAGGTTTCTTCTTTTATTAAATAGTAATAATAATAATAATAGCATTAGTATCCTTGAAGAAATTACAATTTAATAATGGAAAAAAAAATGTGATAATAAAAATAAAAATTGGGTAGCGTATATTTGGTTTACTAGTAACAGGTGTACAATAACGAAAAGATTAGATCGTACTTTTAAATATAGATCCTATGAAACAGATGGCCGTGAAAGTGTTAATTTATCGTGAAAAGAGTAAACATTGAATGATGCTCACGCACAACTTATTATTGTTTTTTGTTATATCAATTCTAATTACTTTGATGTTCCGATAAAGAGGAGATAACGTAGAGAAATTACGAGGGTAATTCACGTATTCGTATACGCTCAAGTGTAATTACACACTCGTGTAATCTTGATTCATTCGAGGAACGAACATTCTTAAATGCTTCGAAACGGATTACTTTCCTTCGTGAATTTCTAATTTTTTTTTTTTTCAATGTTTAGAATTTTTTGAAGATTGATCGTAAATCTAGAAATCATGTTTAATTTCCGAAATGTTTGATTACTACTTGAATAAAAGAAATGTCAAAAAAGTGATTTTATCCCAGTTGGTAGATCTGACGATAATTGAGATGCGTTCGGTGTTCGCAGCCAACTATGTAGAGAGTTGAATGACTAGAAGAAACCGTCGCTGAATAATCACGATATCGTAGGCCTCGAATCTGTTCATCTCTGACCTACTGACACGAAATGATTTGATTAGTCCTGGTCGAGCATTTTCGAAGCTACCTTAACGGTATAACGAAACATTTCTAATGTATCTGAACCTTAAAACATTTACAATTTTTATAAATCTATCTATCATGTAACACCTATATGTACTTCGCTATTTTATAAATTAACAGCATTACAATTACGCAATTTCATGTTCTATTTCAGAGATAAAGCGATAAAGCCTCTTTATCGCTTACCAAGTTTAATTCACCTCCGATCGAGTCGGTGCATCCGGTAGAAATAAGTGCATCTTAAATGATAACCGCGAAACATGTTTCTATTACATCTATCAATTAATAAAAATCAAAGAACATCGATTCGTACGAAGTCACGGTGGTGGAAGCGAAAACGATGATAAGTGGAAGGGAAACCTAAGTGTTAATTCTTTGACTTACGCCTCACATTTCATTCGTAAGTACTTTATATCCAAAAATCAGTATATGTATACAAACCAATTTTTATTAGAAATCTTTAAATCTTTATCAGTAGTTAGAACTGATACAAACTTTCGAGTGTCTTGTATTATTTCTCTATTTAGAATACCTGGTGTGTGTAAAAAATAAAAATAAAATAATTATTTCGAGTGAAATAAAAGATTGAATGTTTTTGATTTGAAATTTCAAAAACGGACAAGTTTCATAGCCCGAGCTAATTTCGGTCGAAAAATTCAGCAGTAGAAATTCCCTTGGCGTAAACAAAAATCAGGTTCGACGAGATCGTGCGTTTGAATTTCGTGAGGAAGGTAAATGCGAACTGGTTGGAGAAAGGATTCGCCGAGTCCTGCCTACTCGAGGATACAACAACCTCTGTATATGTGTCTGAAACATATCTAAATGTCACGTGTAAATGTCCTGCATAAACCGCTGCACCCTCTTACGCCGGCCATAGCTTTGCCACAAGAAAACTTTCACTCGTCGCCGGTCATGGCATATCGGCTCGCGTCAGGCTTGATAGTACAACTCGATTAGGCGCTATTGTCTATCTACCCGGGCTATCAGATCAAAGGTTCAATTAAAATTCTTTCCATTTTCAACATTCAAATTTTAACTCCTTTAAATATAATTTCAAGATATCATCAGCAATATTTTCATGAGGGTATTAAAAATTGGTACTCGGGTACATAATTATAATTAGTTGGCTATTTAAGGATTAGAAGTAGCGATGGAATTACACTTTTAAATTAAAATTCATTTCAATATTTAAGTTACACTTTATGAAGTTCAAATCAGGAATATGGTTTAACTATTTCTTGCAGAATTCTAGAAAGCTACGTCTGTATCTGGCTGCAAAGTAACGATAGTAATTGCTGGTTCTGCGATTTCGCAAGTTTGCAACCAAGAGTGTTTCTCTTTCTTCTGGTACTTTGCTTACAATCTCGCTATTACGATCTAAATTAACACAACCATCGACAACTTTCCATTACCAAAATATTGCAAAACGAATCCCAGATTGCGATTGTCTTGATACAATTGCTTAATTATTTTCATTTTATCATATTTATCAAAGAATTTTGCTTGATCCAGCATGGTATGAACATTTTTTGCACTAAGAAACGTAGTTTTTTAAAAGGATTAAGCATCATAATGTAAACACTGAAGTCATTGATCGATACGGTTGGTACTTCAGTGGTTCAAATAGAAAAAATAAAAATAGACCTATATGTAGGTGTCTGGAAAAACGTGTTCCTTGTGTCCGAACGACAAAACTCAGAGACCCAGACATTAATCCATAAGCCATGCTCGCAAAAATGACAAATCTTAAGATGCAACAGACGCAAATCTTATCAATCGCAAACTTGCTGACATTTGAAATTTATAATTTGTTTTTTTTTTAATACAGACAACGTGAGAAAAGATACACAATCACGTGTCAGATAATTTATGATTATATGTATACCATGTTGATCTGCCTCATATTTCAAAAATCTTTTCTTTGTAATTTATTGTTAGCTTAATCATTTTTCGCCCCACCACTTTTAGTGATGGACAGTGGTGTTTATACAACATTAGTTATTAGTTCACTGTCACAAACAGAAACACGAACCGTTAATTTCCCTCGTGGAGGTGAATACCAATGCAACCGGGATTCTCCTGTTGCACGGCGAAAGATTAGTCAGAGAACTATTAAAACAAATTCATTTGTTTCCTCTTTTTAGTATCATTTCATTCAACACGATTACTACTAACACGTTCACTACGTGTGCGTCACTTATGTGTTGAAATTAAACTCCGTCAGTCTTGTAATTAAAGAAACAATCTAATATACAAACCACATGCATGGTCTAAAATTATATTATTTTGTTAAAAAGAATGTAGTCTATGATGGACGAATTACCAATTGAATAATGATAACGAACATATTAGTACATTATGTTTAACATGTCATTCTACGTCTAATAACTCGACGTGTGGTAGCCTACGTGTTATCATTCCTCCCACTACTTTGTTATCAGAAGTAAAATTTTGTGAACCGTCCTTGGAATATAGTATTAGTGCAAACACGACAATGAATAAAAATGCTTGTAACATGTTACGCAGATGTTCTGCGCGAATTAATTTGTTAAAAAAGGATACACCTCTGTTTTCGTGAATAAATAAATAAATAGGTAGTTTACCAATATATAGGAATCTGGTGGTATCTAAACTTGAATTAACCAGATTTATTATTATTTTGTTTGTTTATTATGAGAATCGCAAAATTCCGAAATATGCAGAATTCTGTTAGGTCTAATTCATGATCCGCTCGCGATCCACTTACGACCCGCTCATCATCCATCCGGACTTACATCCGTTCAGTTCAATTTACATTATAAATAACGCCCCATTTAACACATATGTAAATGAAATATGTAATATTTAATCACACCAAGATTTAAACGTGAGCGGATCAACAACGTGGACCGATAAAATGATTGCTAGCAGCGACAATTTAAATTTAGGTTTTATTTTCTATGTTTTAGATTATTCTTTTAGATTCTACTTTTCCAATGTACTATAAGAGTTTTTCGTTCAAACTTTCAATGGCTAATTTTCCTAGATCTGGATTACGATTGACTGCCTCACTGTTCGAGAATTAGATCTTGCTATGAGGACTTCCGGTGACCGGCATTACAAATAAAATACATTATAAAAGAATAATTATTAAAACAATAAATAAAAAACAATAGAAAAATGTTAATTTCGAATGTTATTATTATTGTACTAATAATAAACTGAAAGAATACATTTGAACATTAATTATTCTTATTTTTATTAATAATTCGGTACGCCTGACTACCTATGTTCATTTTCACTGTGGCGGTCAACGCGTTAAACGAACTCCAACGCATAAACGATTATAATTTTTAAACAACGCTCTGATTTCTAAACGAGGGCTCAAATGAATCAAATGTACCAGATGTTAAAGAGTCGTGCCGGTGGCGCGTTAACGCCAGTACAACATTGCGCTTAAACGACCTGTCACCTGAACAGACTTCACCGAGACACGGATGAGTACGCTTTCTCTTTCGAAAATTTTCCAATCGAACGATATCATTCATCTATATTAAAAAAAACAACGGAACTGGAAGTGTCTTAGGAAATAGTATTTATCGTTTACTCACCGCACATGTTGCCGAAATATTGAGTAGTAGGTACCCGCCACGTAAAATAACAAGACTGGACACGAAGTAAAAAAAGCAGTCAAGTCAGAATATCACTCCTCGATGCTGTTGAGCTACTGCGAAGCACAGTCTGTGCCACACGACAGCGTGCTCGTGCTTCTTATGATATGAGATTTCGTATGGGTGTTGGTACCGTCACATTTATGGTCGATTTATACGTGTGCGTAGCACTGTCGAGCCAAACCATTGACAGTGGGCGCATCGTCTGCACAGTGACGCACTATACACCTCGAAAAACAATGCGATTAGAAATCCTGCTTTATCTATTAATCGCCGAGCACGAGAATAATCACTCGGAGAAAGTAAACGATGTTTAAATAACGAAAGAACGAGTGGAGGGCATCGACATATTACGAACGTGTACTTCGACTTGCGTAGTGTCTACCATGATACGTGAATGAACGAATATCATGATTATTAATTTTTAGTAGCTCTTCTTTCTTATTGATACGATACCATGTATTTCGAGAATGAAACGCGTAAGATATGTTATAAAAAAATGAAACAAGCACTTCGAAGTGTTTCCGATGGATCTTTTGTTGACTTAATTCTTATCCACACTGTATGTATGTATGTACATACTTGTCAGTGGTAGAGCGCGCTACTTGTCATCAGGTTTTGGAGTATCAATAATTTAGAAATCAAATCTGCCGCTTTTAACATTTTTATTTTCTTTTATTTAATATTATCGATATTTATGTACTTAATAAATAGTAAAATTGTGATTTACGAAACAAATATTTTTATTTAATAAAACCTTGTTCACAAGCAGGGGTGCTCGAACATAGCATTTGATTGGATGTTCATGTTCGCGCCTTATTATTTAACAAGTGTAGACGAATACGTAATAATTAGAGTATTGTGCCAAATTGTAATAATTGTTAATAGAAAGCGTGCCTATATATTCACCAATCGACACAGTTTTATTGCAAATAGTATTTTATTGTATTATAGTGCTGTTACACTTGGTTGAATTCAAATTGTTGAATTGCAAATTTTACGATACATATTTCCTGATATTTTCTTAAATATTCGTGATAAATTTATTTATTCAGGTATATACATTGAAAATCATTTTTTTAAGTTATGTAACACGTAACGGAATAATACAACTTTAGATTTATGCAATAATATAATGTTTTGGTAAATAAAGTGAAATACCATAATAATTTAAAATGTCATTTAGTAGAAGCATATGAAAAAATCTACTAACATCATATTAAATATCGGAAATAATTTAAAACAACTGAATAATTAAGTAACCTTCGTCATTCTGTCTTAATAAATGGTTGATCGCGCATCGTACTAAACGCTATGACAAAGTCACAAACATGTTTGCATTCTAATGCAACATGGTGTTGGTAAAAATATTGCCTGTATATAATTTATCTCATGTCGTTTAAACAAAAGTAAATATACGAAAGTGTGCATTTTGATCCAAAAGTGCATTAATCTTTTCGTAACTAAACTGCGAATTAACCAGAAATCGTGGCGATTTCAATCACCATCAAACATGTCTTTTTTAACATGAAAGTAGCGCTACAAACGAAGAAAATCGTTCTTAATATCAGAGAAAGTGAGAATATAAATAATATAGATGTCCATACTTTTAAATACATCATATTCCCTTTGTAACATGCATAAAATATTTTATATGAACATTTTACAGACAACCTTAAAATCTTTGACACATTATGGAAAACACGAATGAATGTATTACCTGTGGAGATTTTGCATTTTATAACAATTTTGATTCAGCCAATTTAGCAAGAGTTGAGATAGTAAAATTACCAGAAATATCTGAAAAAGGTAACCTAGTATTTGCCCTTTAATCTATATATATATATATTTTTTATTATATGTAACAGCATATGCATTTTAATTGTATATTTAATTGTCTTTAGACGGATGTGAAGCGGAAAATAAATCATGTCAAAGTTCAAACTCAGAAGATCCGATAGATTATGAGTTTAACTTGTGGACAAAACATGACTGTCATGGAACACAATTTCAGAATAACAATAGAACGTGGTTTTATTTTGGTGTTAAAGCTAATACACCAAGAGCTTATGTTAAATTCAATATAGTCAACTTAAATAAACATGTAAAAATGTTTAGTCAAGGAATGTGTCCTGTTTTTAAAATTGTACCTGGTCATTTACATTGGGAACGGATTCGTGAAAAACCTACTTACACTGTAAATTTGTTGTTATAAACATAATAATCTATTCTAATGTTATCAAGGAATTATATAAGCTTATGAAACATTTCAGTTGGATCAAACAGGAAATGATTTTACATTATCATTTGCTTATACTGTTCCTGAAAATCCTAAAGCCATTACATATTTCGCGTTCACTTATCCTTTTTCTTATATTGATCTGCAAAATTATTTAAGAAGAATAGAGGCAAAACTAGCAAGGAGAGATATTACTTGTGTAGATGATGTTTATTATCATAGGGAATGTGCAATAAAATCTTTAGAGGGACGAAGATTGGATTTAATAACAGTAAGCTCATTTCATAACATATCAACGGAGAGAGAAGATAGACTGAGCAATATGTTTTCTGATAAAAATGAAGAGAGACCTTTCAAATTTTGGGACAAAAAGGTACAGGACTATTTACTTGAAATTTGAATAAGAATTGGATCAAATTGATTTACAGAACTGTACATTTAAAAATTTCAGGTAATTTTTATTAGTGCCAGGGTCCACCCAGGAGAAACACCATCTAGTTTCGTTTTTAATGGTCTTCTCAATTTTATTATAACCCGTGACGACCAAATTGCGATTAATCTCCGTCGCCTATACGTGTTCAAATTAATACCAATGCTCAATCCCGATGGTGTAGCCAAGGGTCATTATCGAATGGATACCAGAGGGGTCAACCTTAATAGGGTGTATTTAAATCCTTCTTTAAAAGATCACCCAACAATATATGCTGCAAGAAATTTAATAAGGTAAAATCATTATTTCAACTCCATATTTCAACTTTTTAATAGGATGAATTAATAAACTATGAATAAAATTACTTTTAAGATATTATCATAACACATACAAACTGCCAAAAGAGGACGAACTTTCAAGTGTTTATTTTGGAAATGGTGAGAATAATTTAAATGTCATTGATACCTCTCGTACAATTACAAGTATTGTACGCGACACTACAACAAGATTACTTCAACAGGTAATAGTTATTTACAGTTGATGCAATTTCATATTATCATTTTTGTATACCAATACTAACGTGTACTAACTTTAATGTAATTCAAGGACAGTAAATTAGGAATATAAGCACTAACCAACAATTTTAACAATAGGTAACGCTTATGACATTAGATGAAGTAAAAAGTAAAGATCAACCGGAAATTTTTCAGGAACCTACATTACTTAAAACGAATTCGGATGACATGCCTCAGGGTATGATATTTAGAATTAAATTATTCAACACGATCAGCAAACTTCATTTACTTATTTGTTCACATTATGTGAAGGTGGTGGAGAAGAGCTGTGTAATAAAACAGAAGATAGTGATAACTCTGTAGAACTTAACTCTGATAAAAAGACTTACACAGCCGTTGGCATAGGACATTTACCTAAAGACGATTCTGGTTTATATCTGTACATTGATCTACATGGCCATGCTTCGAAAAAAGGTGTCTTTATGTATGGCAATTACTTTGATAATGTAGAAGATACGATAACGTGTATGCTTCTGCCAAAATTGATGTCGATTAACAATCCAAATTTTCATTTTACTTCATGCAATTTTACAGAAAAGAATATGTACATTATGTAAGTTTCGTTAGTAATATTAAAATTGAAACTTTAATTTTTTTACTTCTTTTAAAATATGTACTTTTACAGAGATAAAAGAGATGGTATGTCAAGAGAAGGATCAGGTCGTGTAGCTGTATATAAATTAACTGGTCTTATACGTAGTTACACGCTTGAATGTAATTATAATTCTGGGCGTTTGGTAAATACTATACCTCCGAGGATTCGTGATGGCGTTAATAAGACCATGGCCCCTATGTTCGTTCCACCAAAGTATACTCCAGCAGTTTTTGAAGCGGTGAAATATATCACTACTACTTTTTATACGAAATCAGTAATCATAGAAGTGATGATTTATTTGACTGTACTCTGCAGGTTGGAGCAGCATTAGGTCCTTCGATTTTAGATCTTACGAGTAATAATCCTAATAGTCGACTGCCAAATAGCCAATATCGTTGTTTAAGGGGTATAAAATCCTTTTTAAAATTATCGTATGTGAACAATCTTTCTACACCGTTAGGCAAGTCACTGAATAAGGTAAATTTTGATGTAAATAACGAGAGTGAAATTTCAGCTGTTAATATAAGGCAATGTGTACTCTCTTAATTTAAAGTACCATCATTATGATATGCTTTCGCATATTAACACTAAGACACATTAGTGCCTAAATAAATTACAGTCTATATTGTTAGAGTTAAACATGTGGGAGAGAGATTTTTATATGCATATAATTTGTATATTATTTTGTGTTAGTAATATCATATTATGGATTTGTTATTACAGAAGATACACCCTCATTTTATAGTATTATAACATTTATAAATGAAATTCCATAGCTTATATTGTACTAAGTATTTATTATTTTTGTACATGTGATTGTTATTTAATTTTTGTGAAATTTTTATTATATTGAACTAATGGGTCTTTCATCTAATGCATACGTACGCATGACAATAACATTTGGAATACTTTTATATAAAAGTTTATACAAAAAAGCTGTTTGTCTATTGGTTTCTTTTTGTAAATTTATTATGTAACTTAGTTACAATCACAATGTTTTATTGCGTAGTGTTTTTTTATAGTGCAATTTTTAGTACACAGGTTTTCAAGGCAACAGTTCTTGATAATTTTATGCTAGAGCCAATTAACCCAAGCATAGAATACTCGATACTAATGCTTTATATTTTTAACAGCGAATAAGTTCTTTTTCCTTATACTTCTTAGTCAATTTTTTCTTGCACTGTAATTCTGGTGACAATAAACAAGTGCACTTAAAAATTATTTGACGGTTGTGAGTAATAATAGAAAAGAAAAACGGCAGATACGTATAATTGATCATATCTATTTCTTTAGAAAAAGCAAAACATAACGGTTAAAAATGATTAAACCGTAAGTCTGTGGATGGTGGAGTCTTTTAACGAATGATGTGCTGATTTTGATATCAGATTTGAAATTATTATCCTTATTCGTGCAAATTTAAAATAATGAAATTAAAGATTTTACAAACTCTTTTGATAGAAACGTAAAAAACAAACTATAAAAAAGAGATATAAAGTATATGTGTCTATAAAAAAATAAGTACAAATGTGTGTTACACTATTATATCGTTACAAAAAAAACCTATTAATTCTTCAGACAAGAAGCATACAAAAATTTATACAATATTTATTATCATGCCTTTCACTATTTAAATGTAAATACTGTTATTAATTGAAAAGAATATTATGTATAAATTCATGTATACTACTACAGCACACATGTGTACACACATACATACACACATACCTGTCCCATTGTTTCAATAAATGTACAGTATTTTTAGCAACAATTCATTTACCTCATTTTTATTTTATATTCCTACCGATCCTAGTCCCAGTATTAGTATATTTTACAGTATGGTTTACGTGTTTCTAATATATAAAACATTTTATTTACACAGCTGAATGTATTATGAATTAAGTCCAAAAAATTGTAAACCTTAAAAATATGTTGACGTTTTTGTTATATATGTTTGTTGTTTGTGTTCTAAAATAAATTTCTTGTACACCCTGTTTAAATTAAAAAATTATGGGAACATAAGGTAATCTCTCTCTCACAAATTGTCTTCATTCTAAATATAAATTAATAAGTACATATTTTGTATTTATATATGAAGGTACAATATTTATAGTGTTATACTCAATATCCCTATTGAAAAGAGATCTAAACCTAAATCCGCGCTTTTATTCACAGGATGATAATGATATCATATCTCAGGATTCTTGCAATTTAAAAGGGAATGAATCTCAAATAAGTGATTCTTCTACTGGTTCAAAGAATTCTGTGAAAAGTGAAACAAATCTTGTAAAAAAATCGTGCATCATTCGTCGTACCACATCCCTTTACACTGCGGTAAAAAGAATAAAGAATAACAAAAAATCTCGACAAACTATAACTCGTAGACCATTAAAAAATCAGTGCGTTCATAACAGTGAAGTAAATTCAAAACTTCCTGCAATGGGATCGAAAGACAACTTGATAAAGAGTCCATGTTTTAGTGGCCTCCATGATGCTTCGGAGTTGCAAATAAAAGATTTTCAATATTCAAATAAAAAATTGACAACGACCAATAGATTGTCAAAAATGGCATTGTCTTCCGAAGAAACAGCAATTGTGAAACATGGAGCGAAACGATTAAAAATTATTTCTACAAGAGTTAATAAAAGGCGGCCGGAAGTTGGAGAATCCTCCAACAACGTTCCGGAAAACACAAAACCGTCAACGAAAACATTCCTTACACCTAATAAACAAAATACAAGAACAGCTTCTAAAGTAATTAAAAAACGTGGCCATAATGTGGAACAAAACAAATCGAAGTCTTCCAAATCCAAAAAAGTTAATAGGAATACTATAGTAGTCGAAAATGTATTAAAAACTGAGAGTTCAAATAAGATATAAAATTAGTGCATAAATTAGTCTGTTATCGTAGATTGAGTAATTTGCCATGCACTGCAGCTTTATAATTCTTTGAGATGAATACTTTAGTTATCGAAAGTTATGTACATTTAACGTAAAAATTGTAAGTTAATTAAGAAACGTACAAAAATGGAATTACTATTTATTTCTAAATGATATTAAAGTGTATTGTATTCATATAATATTTTATAGTGATTTTAAGATGTAGAAAATCTCTCCTACTGTATACGTGTATTGTATACAGTACTCATACACGTTCTCATTAGGACTCATTATATTGTTAGAATAAAGAGAATAAATGATAATGCATGTAATCAATTATTACTCATCATTTTTGTAGATTTTTTTGAAAATTAAATCAGAATGAATTTAAAATTGTTGATACGTCTCGTTTATAGATCACTTCGACTATTTTCGCCTCGTGTCGGAACAGTTCGGGTCAAACTCATGGTATTTGTGTTTGTGGCCCCTTCCTTTCTTACCTCAGTCGCGTTTGCGTGTGATAACTTTCAAGTAGTTCGCGCATTCGGATGAATTTTATTGTATAGTATTGTAATTATTCAAACAAGTGGTAGTTTAAAAACGTATAATAAAATCACGGTACAGTTACTAAAAGCGTTACGTTCGTGATCTGTGATTTTTCGAAATGGGCGCCAACAGCAGCATCAGAAGCTGCACACTTTTTGCAGCACTTCTACTTTTCATCGAAAGTGGTAAGGTTAATGCATTAACTACATAAGATGTGAACATCGTGGCGTCCTTTGGGCGGGGCATTTTTAATTTCTTAGTATTGTCCGTTCGAATATATGACAGAATTCAAATGTGATACCTAGTTCAATTTATAAAGATCAAAAATCAATACTAGTTTACCTTGATTATCCGTACATGACAGATTAATATAGTTATGCAAGATCATCGATGGAAAAACTCAACGAAACAAAATCAGAATTTATGAAAAACGAAAAATTTTCATTTAGTCCACAGTTTACGATGTTATCAGTGCAGTAGCACAAACAACTCGCATCCGTTCCAATGCAACGAATTTCTGTCAAGCGACGTCGATATCAAACCACAGCCTTGCGATGGTGTTTACGAGGCACAATACTGTGTGAAGCATACAGGCCGATTTGAGGGTAAAATAATATCGGCAGATCAGGTTACTTGTAACTCCGGAGAGAAATTTAACACTTTCGAATGAAAACTAACCTAAAAATCATATACGGTCACATTCTTGTATCGATTCATCAAAGCATGGGAGAATAATCGATGCACGATCGATAATCTGATTTTAGATAGGTTTTGGTATTTAATAGGCTTGAAGATCTATGCACTGAAGGTTTCAAGGATTAACATACAAAATAAGAAACATATGGAAATTGATTACTGCATGAAAAATTAAGATACTATGCTTATTCGGAGTACTGAATAATTATACGGATTTAACACTTTAAAAATCCCCAAAGTGCGCACATAACAATTTAATCATTGCTTTCTCAATCAATCAAGCGATAAGTCTGGATTGCTACCAGTGCACATCTGAAGAAGAACTGAGCTGTGGGAGTAGCAATTTGGTTCTGAATACTCTGCAACCGGCAAATTGCAGTCATGTTTACGGTGCACGTTATTGCATCAAATCAGTCGGCCGATACGGAGGTTCTTACATTATACTTTGAGTCAGTTTAAGTGTTTCCCATTTTGGAGTGTGCATCACTGTAGACATTGTTATTTTTTTAGCTACACGGAAATTTTGCTTTCTACGAAATGTAAAAATGATTACCAGAATATCTATGTATACCTACTGTATCATCTCACGCATGTTGTATTTCTGCGCTATGCTTGTTGCTTTCATCTGAACGCATGCTGTTATCAAGCTTTTTGTTATTGCTACTTTGCTCTATTACATTGAAGAGAAACAAAATATGGAAGGTTTCTGTGATTGTTGCAACAGGTGGAATAGGTACGAAGCGATTCTGTGCATCAGTGGATCTTGGGAATTACTGTGACTATGTGAGCCAACCAGGTGACAAATTAACTTACCGGACGTGCATCTTCACCTGCAGCGGTGACGGATGTAATTCAGCAGCCATCCTGAAACCGACTATCTTGTGGATAGTACCAATTGGACTATTCGTAACATATAAATTACTTTTTCAAAGGTAGATTCTGATTTTCTCAAGATTCTGATTTTGTGAAATTTTAATTACCTTATCTATTGATGGTAATGTTAATCTTTAAATGTTAATCCGTCCATATTGTGTTAAGGTTTGATGTAAAGTACAGAGCACAGTAGACTTCCCTATAGAAAACAGGAATTTTTAAAATCCTAATTTTGACGATATTAATATTAAAAGTGATTTATAAACAAAAATAACATGATTTTTAATTATTAAATTTTCCAAAATTTAATGTACATTTAAGAAATATGAATAATGACATAAACACCAATTCAAATGGTCCCGCGTAAACGTAAACGCGAGTGGTGGGGAGCCACAGAATTATACATACAATAAGGCTGCATTCGCTTTGGGCGCTTATGCGCTGTAAGCGCTCACGCTTATGAGCGCTATTTTCAACCGCTTCCTTTAGTTTATGAGCGCTCACATGAAAAAAGTTACAATCGTTCGCTTTGACTGTTGTAAGCGAAAATGGAAGAGAAGAAAAAATTAATCTGTGAAATATTTGCGCAAGCACTAATTTGATTGAATTTGCTTGAAGATGAAAAATACTGAAACTTTTCTAATGAAAAGTTAGAAGAAATGTGTATACTTCTGGCTCGCCCTAAACCTAAACCAATACCTCGATTAAAAAATTTTGTAAAAGAAATTATTCCAAATTATAATAATATACAATTTAAAGAGCAATTTAGGTATATATAGTAATATTTTCTTTACAAAAGAAAATGTTTAAGTATCTTTTATTGTATTGGACGCCATCTTTATGGTTATAAGTTGCTATTACAGCGTTCCCTTTCGACAGAAGGCGTTCGTTAGCGCTTACGCTTTCGCCGCCCTACCTGGATGGAATAAGCATTTGTAAGCACAAGTTGTGACGTTTTGATAACGTCATTACTCGATCCGTGCGCGCTTATAGCGCCAAAGCAAACGTTGTGAGTGATACAATTGCTTCGAAATAAGCAAGTGGTCTCTGCTTCGAAATAAGCAACTCGCTATCCCCTCTTCTTTGTTTGAAGTCGCCCGCAAAGTGAATGGTACGAGAAATGAGTGAGAGATCCATGAAAGCGCGAAGCCGATGTTTAGGGTAATAAATTTCACGGTTGACTGAGCAGTGACAGCGGTTAGTAAAAGAAGGATAGAATATATATAATGCTTTCTCAGTCGGGTATATTTGCTTCGAAATAAAGCATAGTGCGAGAATGAGTGCTATGTTCTATCCTTGTTCAAAAAATAACATCGCTGTTCGGCCGATCACTTTATGATTTGTCGCTACCTCGGATTTCTCACTCGTTTCTCGCGTTCTCTATCGTCCCGTTTCGAGAACAAAGTCAAACCGAATAGCATACCTGCTTCGAAATAAGCAACTGTTCGGTCCCGAGCCACTTGCTTATTTCGAAGCAATACTGTATGTATAAACTCTTACAGTGCGTGAGCGCCCAAAGCGAACACAGCCTAAATAGGGGGCCTGCTCTGATATATCGACATTTTCCTTCGGGCTATCCTCGGAATAGGACGTTCCCGTGGAAGGGGCCTCCTGAGGGGGCATCGCTATTTTCCTTGGGGGAGCCCGCCATGCTCGGTACTGTATATTGTATATACCTTAAGAAAACAATTTATACAAAACTATTGAATTTTATGAAATTCAAATAACAGATGTGCCTTTTTTAGTAAAATATCGAAAAAGTCAGTAGTTACCAAAATAAGTACAGTGTTAAGATAGCAAAAGTGAATATCAAATTCATTTCACGATGAAAAATGTATTTAGTCTTATAGGTAATTAACGCATATACTTATTATATATTAATATGTGTAAGCAGATATACACTTCCGAATTGCTATAGGTTTACACATGTGTTCATTTGTACTTTTATATAATTATTTTTGTACTCGTTTCTTTCTTATTTACTTTGACAAAGACTTTGTGTATAGAATACGAATCTCATTTATTTTTTAAACGATTAGTTATAGTTAGTTTTGTAGAAAGTACAAGAAACTATGAAAAATGAAAGAATTGTACAAAATAAAAAATGTGTATCTACATACATATATGGGTCAGAAAACAGAAATACAATCGAATGCTTTGTTCTTTATTTACGAACGAGATCCTCCATTCGTCTTACAGACATCTTCTCTGCATATAAATATAACACGATGGTCGATCAATTATTGATAATTTGTTTGATGACCATTCGTAGAAAGGTACGTGTATGTACGTTAACGCTCTTTGGTATGTCCGTTTATATGAACAATGCATAGGATAAATAGGATTTTCCTTTTCTTTTTTATACGATATACGCTATCATAACAATATTTATCGTTAAACAAAATTACACAGAATAAAAAGAAAAAAATTGTTCGCTGATTAAGGAATTGTCAGTTGATGAAAATTGCACACCCTTTACGCCAGCTTTATTGCACCAAAATTCGACGGTGTGAAACGAAGAAAAATACGCACACAGATTAATAATATTATTGCAATATTTAACTTCTAAAGACTGGTCCAGACCTACATACATATGTTTCAAAACTTTTCTTGAAAATCTCTCTGTGCTTATTTGTTTATATTAGGAAACAAAGAAAATCATTTATACTGGTTTTATATAGTATTTTTATACATTTGCTTCAGTGTTTGGGGGCAAAAGTATAATAGGTCCGGAGTAAGCTTATACAATATGTATTATAGTCTATCAATTTATCAATGATTTTTCTATCAGTAACATCTGTGTTAAATGTTGAAGGCAACACAGTATGCGATATACTCTTAGAAAGACACTTCCATCAGGCTTCAAGCAATTCGATGAAATTTGAGTATCAATATTTAAGATTATACCTTCTATTTTGTTATCTCATTTTTTTATATAATGATCGATTGATGCGCGTTGAACACAAGCATTTTTTAACTCGAATTTTAGATCTGTTGCTCGAGAATGCAACTATGTATGTATGTATGTATGTATGTATGTATGTACATCTATACCGTATGAAAAAATACATATATTTATATGTGTATAAACCATTAAGTTTGTTAAACGCTATCAAGCAGCACTAAAGTATCCTGTGACTAATAACCTTTTCCGTTTGTTGATCCTAGTAATGTAGAGTAATTTGACACATAGATATCAGTGTTTATTAAATAGAATCGAATTAATATTGCATATCTTTTTCTGTAGAATATTTCAACTATATGATCAAACGATGCATATCACCCACGGTTCAGTTGCTTTGTATATTGTTTTTTAGCCCTAAATATGCACATCTATAACGCTCTCTTCTAATTATACAAAAAAAAAAAATGTCAGCCTAACATGTTCAAACTAATTACAGTATATAATTGAATATCATCACTGCCATGGGTTCAGTTAGAAAATTAGATATTGCCTTCTTCTACCATGGCAGTGGGTGTTGGCAGTGATCAATACACTCGACGATAAAATAGTTTATACATACATATAGTTAATAGGTTAAGTTTACTACCGTATGTATAATTACATACATACGAAAGCGAGATGTACAGCTGCGTGCAACGATGCTCAGAGAAAAGAGAAATTGTAGAGAAGAAGAGGTCGCTTTCCATTAACAGAAAAGCTTGTCATCATACGTTTTGTCACATTTTTTTAAAATAAATTTATTAAACTCCTATGGAATTGAGCGTAAGGACATCGTTGTACATAACTGTACATTGAACAGAACACAACAATAGCTTTTTAAATTAACGCGTAAATTAATGTACAATTATCGACAAAATTCATAATATTAACATCAAAGGTGAATAATTAACTCGTGTGATTCGAATAATAAATAGAATTATAAATATTCGTTAATCAATAAATTCATCTCGAAGAAAATTAACGTAACAAAATATTACAAAAATGCGTCGAGAATTATTACTTCGAATGATTTTTTTCTTTGCAACCACAGTTGCTATTATTAAACGATGAATCTCAATTATTGTAAGGGTATTATTCGTCGTTATATTTTGTGCTTTTTCTTGTATTCTCGCATGATGTTTCATTGCGTACGCAATTCTCATATAAGCTGCATTCATCTAGCGTTTCTATATACGACAATTCTGTTGTAGAACGAATTGCATATGGTAAACGTGCATATGCAACAGACAGGTACAATTTTTCGTGTACACATTTTAATACTTCATCGAAGTTTTATATCTTTATATCAAGTTGATCTTTCTTCTTCGTTATGGTAATTAATACAAATACAAGTATTGTTTAACCCTTTCAGTCAGTAATTATACTCTGACAAAATTTATGGTACCTGACATAATTTAAATAAATTTATTAAGCTTTGTAATAATTTTTTAGTTTCATAATACAAATTTCAAATTTTTAAGTCTAATAAATATAAAGAAAAGTAGAGTGTTAAAAACTGCGAAGAGGTATCAACATTTGATATAGACAAAAACTCGTCTGTACAGTGAAGGCAATCGTGTAGATCACAATTATTCGTTTGTTCTTTTTCTATCTTCAAATTCTCTATATAGAACGATGTCTAAAAAAATTGACTAAATTATTGTTGCTTCATTGCTGCATTTTTTTCACACGAAGGTAGCAGAGAAAAGATATACAGTAATGCTTCGAAATAAGCAACTGTTCGGTCCCGAGCCACTTGCTTATTTCGAAGCATTACTGTAAATTGTAGAGAGACGAGATATATTATAAAAATGTATCCAATCGTACTTTCACAAGATACATTCAAGAAATGTAATCAATTAGCATAAGTTCGAACCGCTTTAAAATCTCCTGCACCACTTTTCTCTTTTTATTTCTTTTCTTTTTTGTGAAAATTTACGAAAGTTTAAATATTGTAGCGGCGGTAAACGATGTACGATAAATGTTTTTTAAGTACCATGCTTTTGGCGATAAAGCTATTAAGAATTTGTTCGAAACAAACGAGATTAGGGGATTTACTGGCGCTGAAGCTTGCGAATTTGTTCTTCTAGCTCTTTCACGCGTAATTGACTGTTAGCTAATTGTCGTCGGACCAGTCTTAATTCATCGGTTTGACGAGCGAACGCCAATCTGAGCTCGGCCTCGTTGTTAGGAATGTCCACGGTCTCCAAAACCTTGTTATCGTTCAGCGTCGTGGAAATGATATTTTTCTGCAATTAAAACAACGGGACAACATTCTGTTGGTCGTACGAAACGTAAATTTCAAACAAGAGCATTCAAAGTACCGAGGTACTCTAGTTGTACCTGCAACACAGCGCTGCCAAATTTTTGTTGCAGCTGTTGAAACTTGGTGCTCTGATTGCTAGACGTTTTTTGACTTTTCTCCGACATATCATGAAACTCGATTGGCCTGTAGTCTGGCACAGTTTCAGTAGACAGGAATGCGAATTTCTTTTTGTTGTTCAAGTCGGTTGTAGGGGGAAGTTGCGGCGGTTTGTAAACGCGTGGCTTGTGCGTGGTAATGCTGCCACCTGTTAACATTTCCACGAGAAAATTAAGCAACAAGTGCATAGAAAAAAAATAAAAAGAACGTTGAAAGTTCAATGGTTATACCGGTTTTCAGAGAAATTAAAATCGGTGGACTATTCATGCCACTGATCCAGTCTCTGGCTGATAGAGCGGGACAGGTACCGATAGTGTCAGGATACAGGTCCTCTTGGAACTGGTCGCTCTGGAAAGTGAAAGTTTCCGATTATTGAAATTCAAATATTAAGCAATTTATTTAACAAGATACCTACCTTTCGAGGTACTATCATTGAAATCGGTTCGCACATTCCACGGGTGGCGTGCAATTTATAAAATCTAAACACCTCGCATATGGAAGTATTTACGCCTCTTTTTGGCATTACACCCAGTCCTCTTTGTGGATTGCCGGAAATGAATTGGCTGAGATAATGGACCCAAGGAGCCTCGTTCACTATCTCATAGTAGCGGATGTTACCATCACCCTAAAAATAAGAAACTCTAAACTATATCGCTTCCTCCAACTATATATGTATACACATCATTGTTCCCGCCGATTATACGGGTGTTTACCTTGCCGGCCAGGTACACCATATTAGTGTCGTTATCATAATACGGAAAAACGACTCCGCTTGAAGAATCTATGGTCTCGCACGTCAATGGAACGGTGAGATCGTGTTGGCTCCAAATGGCGTACTGTCGATCCGAGTGGCGGCTGAAACCCGTGGTGAGAAGACGTCCCGAACTGCCAAGGAAAACCACTTTGCTAGCTTTTGTCCCGGCATGACAAACTCCTTCCTGTTTAACAAACAATCGTCATTTTAAACATGAACTTTATTGCGATACAAAATAGATACGTACAGAGACCACGATACCGGATCTTGGCTCGAAGACCCTCAATTTCTTATCCTTGCAAGTGGTCGCTAACAAGCTGCCATCGCGATTCAAAGATATGCTGTAGATCACATCGGGATGCCTGTCGATCACGCTGACGGCCTCTCCTCTATTTATATCCCACGCGATAACGAGATGATCAAAGCCCGCGCTGAACAGTACGTTCTCGGCCACCGGATGCCATTCGATGTAAGCGACGCGACGTTTGTGTCCTTGCAATTCCACCAGCCATTCGGTCAAATTTCGCGATAATCCACCGTCAGGAATGTGCCACAGTTTTATCTAACATTGAGGAACAACAAGAAGATTGTGAGAGGATGCGAATAACAATAAGAGAAGATTGATACGCGTTGCTCGAAATAATGAGAGCGAATCGCGTTGCAGGATAAGATATTCTTATGTATTTAGCATCCCGTTTAATATTATACATTAGCAAACGTGTAATTTGTAAAAGGTGATAACCATGCTCTTTTCTTTTTTTATTTTACTTTCACTTACATGAAAGTTGTAAAATACTGTTATTCGAGTCACATTCTTGAGAATCTTCTTTTTAAGATACAGAAATTACTGACTGACGCTTTATATCGAAAGGAATAATGTTAAGCTGTCGCGTATCAAATGATAGAAAGTCTGTCACGATTTGATGACATAAATTTGAATCTTAGAAATTGATGAAAATGATCATAAAACTCTGAGGTAGTTTGCATTATAATAAATAATCTAATTATTCAAAGTAAACGCGGATAGGAAATCAGCAGAGCAATCCTACGGTGCAATCATCGGAGCAGGAAGCGATGATGTTATCGTTGAACGGATTCCACTTGATATCCAGAACTGGTCCGGTATGTCCAGTCACTCTGCTTGCATTAAAATCCAGTCTTCCGGTCTAAAACATGGAATCCTGATTAGCAATCCAATATATCTCATGAAAATTGTACACCTTATCTATTTGTTCTCTTGTAAGTACAGTGGCTCAATTAAAAAAATAAAAAAAATAGTCGATCATTTTCTAAATTAGTATCGATAAGGAAGGTGTTGATTTTTACAATTTCTTCTATATATTTCCGAATACTCTAATCCCATAAAGGATACCGAGCTGTAACAGTATTAAATTGGGACGCTATTTGCGTCGATGTATAATCGAATGATAAAGCAACCCTGTTGATAGGCTATCAGGTGATGGTGGAGCGCTAGAATCGAACGGATCGATAAGCCGATAACTCACGCGATCGAGCGGTAAAACCAGAAACGCTCCTCCGCCAGCTACTTCCGTCACCACAGCGAGGAACTTTGGATTCACCGCGCAGAATTGTGAATCGTGGGCATTCTTCGTAATCTTGATATTGTCGTAGCATTTCTCCCTCTTTGCTGGTACCCCGTACACGTGGCGAAATTTACTACTTCGAACACCACGGAACCAAGACTGAAAAAAAAAAAAAAAAGCATGATTATCAATTTATATGTATAATTATTTAACATATCGACTGAAATTTTACTAATAATCTAAAACGGCAAAGTAAAGTTTTTAATTTGAAAATTAACCGAACGCGGCAAATTGTTAATAATGTATCGTTGCTGAAGTAGTTGCTGAAGAACGATTTAATGAATTTAAAGCAAGGTCAATAACACGATAACGAAGATTTGTAACAGCTGTTTGGGACTCTCTCCGGTTCAGAAACCGTGAAGAAGAAAGTTTCGTGGAACAACGCCGAAAGCGTGTTACCAAGTCGACACCTTGGTACCACTATCGCTATCAGGTTTTTTCAATCGTACACGTTGCTCCGCATCGTGATTTATAACAAGGAGCAACGTATACCTTCGATTCTTGCAACGAATACGTATGGTAATCGCGGACAAAACGTGAAATCTTTCTCGGGTTAGTCGCGTGTGATGCGTGGTAGCCGCGGAGCGCAGTGTAGCGCGGCGAGACAGATCAAATTATGCGACTTTTTCTCAACAATAACGAAGCAACGTGTTCCACAGTTAATACACGGCCAAACTGTAACCGTAATCCCGTATCGTAAAGATTAATGGTACGTTTCTGCGTCACTTTTTATCGATGGAACGCGAATCGTGACAAGTTTATACGACGCCATTAACAAAGTAAATAATTAATTATGGTAAAAATTCATTTTCTAACGAGATCCTTGTAAACTTTATAATTTTCTAAATTATAAATCATAGGTATTAAAGAAGTCTACAAAGTATTACATAATTATTGTATAATAAAACCAATTGACTATGTCATAATATGTACTATCATCACTATAATTAGAAATAATTCTTCTTTTATTCTTCGCGTTAAAATCGAATCGATAATATGAATACAATATCAGTCTCGTTCTCTCATTACATAAGAAAATTCAACTTGCAAATATCTTGTTTGCATACAACATGCCTGAAACGTGAAAATTTGATGAGCTCATACGAATAATCGTATGTCGACTATACAATTATTATGATACAAAGGTGTTCATCTATTTACTTCAGCATGCAAATAATTTCTGTGCAAAATAATTGAAACTGAGAATAAATAGGTACCTATATATATATATATGTATATACATATATACATGTATGTATTTATATACATTAAGTGTAAGTGTATCGTGCGGGTAATCTTGATTCTTTGTGCACATTCTTGTGATTACAAAGAATCGTGTTCTCGTTGGATATGTAAGCCTAATATGTTATACATTTTTCAGTTACAACGTCGCGTCGTATGCTACGCTTATTTGTGATTATTTATTGTTTCGTCGGTCATTATTTCAGATAACCGGCGATCACGATCACCGATATTCGTTTTCGTTGATAACGAACAATCACTGTTGACAAATATCAGATTTTACTTAACTTATTCGATTCAAGTATGAATTACAATCATATTTCCGATATAGTTGAATCTCATCTTTAACTATAGCCAAACTAGGCAGATTATTAAAAACAGGTTTAATCTTTCGAAAATTTGTATACAACAAGAACACTAATTTGTGGAACAAATAGTCGTGTAACACCGAAAGCACTCACCTGTTTGTCGTTGGTCATGTCTGATACTAATCAAGCCGAGAGACCAGGCAGTCGGTACACGTGCGTGGTGAGGACGATGGTGGTCGCCAGTGCACAACAGGAACGTAGAAATTGAACAAGCCAGTATCCATGCATTGGAAGGGGAGAAAATGCAACTATTACTTCGAAACTCGCGATCGTAGGTGTGTGGTAACCGCTGGCTGAGGCGGCGCGACGGCTGGAGGAAGCTTTTCCGCTTTACTGGAAGAAACAAAAGGGAACACGAGGCCGTCTAATTACACGAGATCATCGAATCGCGAACGCGTCGAGCCGCGACCGCGATTTTATCGTTGTTTATCGACCCGCTTTTCGAAACGCTCACCGTACAGGAGATTGAATATGCGACGCGTTCGTGAAAGAACATCCGTTTCGAAACTCGTAAAATAGTTTCAGCCTTTTTAAATGAATAAAAATAAAATATTTGATTTATTATTTTTATTTATTTCTTTGCGATAAATTGGATTGAGTATAGGTATCTACGTAACTCTTGAATTAATGATAATAGGGCGGAAAACATATTTTTCGGAAGCAATTGTTAAAAAATAAGTAATGGTTATATATTTTAATGGAAACAACATATTCCGTGATTTGTTGTTAGTCAAACTGTTAAAGAACAAAATAAACTGGTTACGATACGAATGAAAAATGGAGAAAATCATCGATAGAGGAAGAGCGTAAAGATACTAATCTTTAATGTGAGGGGTAAGCGCGCGAGATGAATATTTCATCGACGCGCTTAAAACTTCGGCTCGTCGAGCGCATAACTTGCGTCATGCTTGAAAATCGATGTCGCCTATTAAGGAAGGAGAAGAATGTCGACAAGGACGACTCTTGGTCGAAATTTTTGTCTGACGGATCGCTTCGCGAAATTTCGCCGTTTGAATTTCGACGCGTCACAACATGAATGTTCTACGGCTCTACCCAACGGAATACGATAAATAAATATTCCTCTGTCATCACTGTCTTTTATCCTTGCAAAAAACTCATCCCGATATCTAACGCTTCGATTCTCTCGGAAATCTGGAAAGAATCTTTAAAAAATCAGCAACGAGTGTATGTTTTAATCTATACAAGTTATTTTACGATTTGTTAGTAGACAAACTATTAAAAAACAAAAGCAAATGCTAAGATACAAATGGAAAATCAAGAAAATTTAATATTTAGTAGATGGAGGATTCATCACTGTTTTACATTGTTCTACTAAAATAATCTCTTTTAGTGCTTCAAACACTTAACGTTTTATCTTGTATAACCTTCAAAACGATGGAAAAAATAATAAAAAAATAAATCACGACACGATCGAGACCTTTTCACGTTGTGAAACAAGGGAACGAAACAAGGAAAACACTATTTTTGCAGCAACCTAATACTCGAGCGGTCGTTGCCAACAACCTATTCTTTCCTCCTGTACGCTTGAACCTCGTGCAAGAAGAAAGAGGCTGAAGAAGAAGCCTAAGAAAAAACAGCAACACGCTCGTAACGTTACTTATAGTCGCGGTTAATGCGCACTTCTCGCGATCGCGAACTTCGAACTGATTTGATGAGCGAATCTCGTCAATTATTATAAATACATATATGTATGTATACACGATCTGTCCAAAAGTAATGAAAATAAAAAAGAAATTCATAGCTTTCAAAACAAGTTCCTCGGAGACAATCTCATTTTATTTCATTTAGATTTGAAGCTTCGAAAAAAAAGTTTAAATTCCGTACGACACGGGATGCGCTAACGAGATACATAATTCCCGCCGTTTCCGGTTTCGCTGAAGAAATACCAACTTCTACCCGCATGTGTAGTATGCTTAATCGTGTTTAGAAAGAAGGAAAAAGGAATCGTCGGAACGTTGAACGGGCACGTAAATGCACGGACGAATGGTTTACACAAAGGGCGTTTCAAAAACCTACCGCGTGACTCACAATCAGTTTCTTTTTGCCGCGCGTATATTTTCGTTGGTGTAACACTTAGCTAATTTCTCGCGCGCTCCAATTTGCGTGTTTCACAATACAGATTCGGGTTAGCCTCTCGACATTCGTTCGAGAAGGTTGCCCCGCATTGTATTCTAAGAACCTGCCCGATCATTTAATTCATCGCATAAATCACGTACGCCAGGATTATTATTTAAATTATCTTCTTTCACGCTGCGAAGAAGCATACACGATAACGCGTCGCAGAATCATTGGAAACGGTACCTTAGAGTTTGCACGATCTCGTTCGGACATAGAGAAAGAGATAGCAACGGTAGGTAATTGGTTGTACGGTCATGCAACGTCTTCATTGAGACAGTACCGCGTGAAGAAAAAAGAGCACTACATACACAATCGTGTAGCGGAGTTCCAGGCGCGCGCGTTAGATCGCGAAAGTCGCCGAGCCAGCACTGACTGACTTCACTGACAATGGTTATATAGCCGTTGCCCGATGCCAGCCGGCTGTCACGTGGCACGCTTATCCGTGCTTCTTTCAATGCGCTAGACCGATGCTTTTTTTTAATTTTCTTTTTTTCTCTTACAAACGCGCACATTGTCATTATGTAGGTTTTTATTTATAGAAAATTTGTAGAAAATTCATGATATATACCTACCGCTTTGTGCACCCTTGTTGCAGACTCGATGGGGGGTACCCTAAATTGCGAGTTCAATCCATGCTTTATAAGAATCCTACGTGAACGCATGCAATTACTGTTCCAGCATTGGAAGAGAAAGGGAAAAGTTTTTTTTTCTTGTTTGATTATAGAGATTAAGTGAAATCGTTAATTAATTAATTGAATAAATTGTATAAGTTAGAAAGAGCGAACTGTGATTTAATATTCGATACGAGTGCTATCGAAGCGAAGTACATTTGGAATACAAGAGACTGCAATTTAATTTCCTCAATAAGCGGAATTTATCAGTTATTGTAAACTTAAATGAATACTTCCTTAAAAAAGTGGAACTAGCTGTTGTCCCCCATCGTAAACGTCAATTAATGCCAATTTTGTTAAATCAAGTCGAACGACAAAGTAGAACAGTTGAAGTACTTCTTGATGCATAAACAAAGAGTGCGCAGAGAGTGAAATTCAATAGATGGTGTTACATTTTTTAATGTTTTTTTTTTGTTATTTTTTTTAACTAAAAAAGGACATCAAACAAGCCAAACATATTCTACTACCCACATTCATCCATTTATAAACAAACCAGAAAAGAAAAAATATTGAAGATGACGATCTTACTTTTCCGCTTGGCTTGTAGCACGCTCTGACGTCTACCATATTGTTCAACAATGTATGAGTGTCATCCGCGCCTTCTAGGCCCAATTTCTCCGCCAATTCCTCCCTCGTACGTATCATATCCCAGTTCGCGATGTTATATCCCATAGAAGCTATGATCTATCGAATTGTCCACCTTCGACGCGTGCCACTCAGTCACAACTCGTATTTCCCACGTTATTTATTTAACGACTGCTTGTTGGTATTTCAAAGTCCGATGTCAGAGGTTCTCTGCATACCTAAATGTCAAACAAGAAGAACGTTTCACGAGTAATGGACAATTACGAGCCACGTGCGAACGCTTCCGTCCATCGATTTCGTAACCCACTCACTGAACACGCTATCACATGTACACGACGTATCGATTTGACGTGCGCGCAACATGTAAACACGAAAGCACGCCGCTCTCGAATACTGTTCTCGCCACGATGACAGGAATCGAAAGAATATCCCGCGTTTTCATTAAATTACGTTCCCCTCGCAAGAGATCGGCGAATAGCGCGCGAGTTCCTCGTCGGCCCACGAACACGCTATGCCACCGAGTAACTATTCATTTGCTCTTGCGAGTAGAAAGCACAACCATTTACCGTGTTCCTTTGCTTACGTTTTGTAAGAGAAAGAGGGACGAGCATTTATTCTACAGGGATACCCGAAATGTTAACATTTATGTATTTCAAACTGCACGAGAGCGAATGAATAGATCGACAAATTAGAGACGCATACTTTCGATTAGTGACACAACACACCGTAGTTTTTTGAATTAATATAGATACACGTGTGTACGAGAGATTGATTCTCATGTACACAAACTAGGTGTTACAGTATTCGCATCACGTAACAATACAGATGATAATTTTGAATGTTTGCGGCTTTGACGCATCGCTTGTGATCAAATCAATTTGTTACACGGTGAAAGGAGAAATCCACGTCACGGAATAGCTTTAAAGTTCGCGGTCAGTATACACACGATCATGTTAGAAACGTAGTTTAATCTGATGTAACACTGGCTAAGCGTCACTCACCATTTCATCCGTGCAACACCGATTTACATATCGATTTTGAAACCAGCCGAGAACACGCCGTGATGGAAGGCGGTCTGCTCGAGAAACGGTGTAAGAAAGATGGTTACTGAAATCGAACGAACAGAACCGAATGAATTTAGATCAAACGGATGAATCATCAAATATTTGTAGAATTATAGGTACGTGCATTTAGATATTTCATGAATTTCATGAATTAATAGAATGGAGTACAGAACAGTTGATTTTGTACAGAGTTGTCCTTTGAGTTTACGGGGCCCGGTGCAAAAGTCAATATTATTGAAAATATCTAACTGGAAACAGATAACCTTAAAATTTATCCCAATAAAATTATAGAATAACTACTAATACGTCACACGAGTATTTTATGCGAAATAAAATGCGAAAGTCTTTCAACGCAAGATTCGGATTAAATGTTCCATTCAACCTCCTGCTAAGGACAGATCTGTTTTGTATTACAGAGTTAGATCAAATATAGACAAATATTACTATTAGAAAAAAGCAACTAATCGAAGTATAATAATGTACCTTCTTTCAAAAATGATTTAAACAAAGTAAAAATAAGAAAAATATTATGAACTTTAAAAACTACCTGCTGTATTATTTCATATCAACGCACGACACGATTGTGTCGCTATTTTATATCTAGAAATGGTTGTTTGGTGTCGCTACTGTAATTCAGCAAGTACCAGACAGTGAGCACTGACTACAGATTCAACAAGACTGGACGTGCCTTTATTTTCAAAGGGTCGTGAATTCGTGAATTTGTGCCTCGAGAACGAACGCCATCTGTTTTATCCCCTAGTATAAAAATGTGAAATACTTCGCACTGCAGCAGTCTAACCACCGACAAGAGGCTGTTAAAGACTGCCATCCTTATGGGAGTTTGTGTTTTCGCAAAAATTTTGTGGCTAATTGTTCCTACAAACTGTACCGAGGAAAATAAATAAATAAAAAAAAATTCTGTGGCGACAAGCGATGCACGCTCCTGAAGTGCCATCTGGGAGTAACTAGGTTAAGTTAGGCTAGTTAGTTTTAGTTACTAGGTTACGATGTAAATATATAGTTGGTAAGCCTAGATTCTAAGAAGACGCGCTAAAAAGAAAGCGTCGCTACTCACTCTTAAAGAACTCGCCAAAGAAGATAGTCGCGGAGTAAAATTACCATAGTGCAAGAATGAGACATTTGTGCAAGTAAATCCTGTGTTTCAGTTATATTGTTATATTTCCTTTCAACCACGAACCAAAGTCCCCGCAATTCGCCGTTTTCTTAGGCCCTCTAGAATGTATTGCGGCCGTAGTAAGAAATAGAACATGAAGATATTCTCGTATCGAATAATTATCATGTGATATGAGATAATATATTATCTGGTCGGTGTTATTATTATCTCTTCGGTGATTCGGGTTAAGCTCGTTTTACAGATGTTTTAAAGATATTTTTTAAGATGTAAATTATTTGAAAAAAGATAATATTAGACAAATCATGTTGGAAATGTTTTTCGTAAAAAGGTTGATACAACCAGAGTGGATGATTAAAAATATTCTAAAATAAGGTATACTCTTTATTTGTAGGCAATCGTACACGATGACAGTCAGAATAAGAGTACCTTGCCCTCTCAAAAATTCTCGGTCGTGAGAACGCCTTTGACAGTATGCCCTTTTGTTTACAACACCTTCGAATTAGGAGGCTTTCCCTTAAGAAAGGGAAATGCGCTGACAAAATACACATGGTCTGAGACGTTTCGCCTACTTCGATTTTTCTAACACGAACTTTTTATTTAACCCTTTCGCTACGACGAGCGACTATAGACGCTCTTTCTCTTGCACACTCCGCATCTCTCTCTAAACTTGTTGATACGACAAACAATTATCGGAGTAGCTTCGATAATGACAGTACAGTAAAACCTGGATAAATGCAACTAAGATTGGGACCCCGTGGTTTCATTTATCCAGGCAAGGTGGCGATTCTGGGCATTTAATGTTGCATTTATCCAAGCGAGGTGTCGATTCTGCGTCCGTACACATGTTTTGTATTCAGCCGACATGCCGATTCTGTGTCCGTACACATCTTTTATATTCAGCCGACATCATTTATATTCAGTCGTGGTGTCAATTCTATGTTGTTTATTCTATTACTATTGTTTATAAATATAATTCAAACTATATCGTGTTTGGTATCATTTTAATCAGAAAAATCTCACAAATGCGATAGTAAAAGTTTCATTAAGAAAAAGTTAAAAATAAAAAAGTTTTATCGTTCAATTAGTATTAGTCACACCGATATTACGGTCGGATCATATTACACGGTTTTCTCGTCGAGCGGCTCGGTTCGTCTAGGGGGATCCCCCCAAGTGGAGGGGTTAGCGATGTTGTACTTATCCAAGCATTCTTTCGTTGCATTTATCCAGGTTTTACTGTACTGTGATAAGCACCTCAGCATATTCACACTCCGTTTGTCCTGGTGTCATTTTTTATGCTTGTACCTTTTTTTTCATTACTGACATAAAATTGTACAGCTGTCGTTAAAAAATTAAAGACAGCACACGTCCTCATTCGCTCGCGCTGTCCTTTTCTATGTCCGGCAGGAATCAAAATCTCGGTCAAGCCGATTCATTTTGCTGATGGTCAGAATTGTAATAGATGTGGCAACAGTGTGACTTGATACGTTACACGTACTGTCTTGATACGTTGTGGCAACTATACCTTAAGGCTGGTTCAGACACGGCTAGTAGTTTAGTCGAGTGGCGAGAAGTTTAATGTATGGACACTACAGTTTAGTCGAGTAGATCCGTTTCATTAGATTTTTCTGGTCGAGTAGGCTTGCCCCACCACTAACTAGGCTTCCGAACAGATCTGTCCGGACGCATTTCTTTAGTCAAGCAATATATCTTGTACTTTCGATTTCCAAAGTTCAACTGTACTAGTCCGGACACATTTCTATGCGCTAAACAGTTTAGTAGTAAGTAGCTACTCCCCACTCAACTAAATTACTAGCCGTGTCTGAACCAGCCTTTACCAGTATGTATTTGTATTTCGTGGTCTCACCAACGAGAGACTGTTGATCACTACACTTTTATTGCGTATTCGAAAAAAACGTTCCAGGGTGTCGCAAAATACACTAAACGCTTAGTATGTTATTCCCTGTTAAGAATATTTTGTATCGACTACGAAACAATAATTATATTTACATAGTATCGATTATGAAATAATTATAGTGGTGTGCAATAAAGAAAATAAAACAATAAGGATGTAATACAATTATAAAGTAAAACAGAATTGTTTTCCAAACAGCACCGACGATATAATTATTTCGAAGGTGCTGTGCCAAGTCTAAATTATCTCGTTGGTGGTAGAACAGTTCTTAAATTATCTGATCGGCGATACAATGAATAATATCAATATTCTACATTATCCATTATCCGCAGCACCACGTCCAAATGCTCACAGCCATTTACCATTCGTACCCTTGGCGTGCCGCACTTTAACACAGGAGATGTCAGTCTTTAACAGTTCTTGTCGGTGAAACTAACACATGTTAACGGTAACAGAAGATTGCTTTGATACGAAGGACTGTACCCCTTTGCTTAGGATTTAGAGTTTAGAGTTTAGAGCAGGTGTGGGCAGCTAGTACAGGGTGATCCTCTCGCTAGTGGACTCAAAGGAAGTGCCGCCACAATAGCATGAAGTGGCCCTAGCCCTTTTTGTGATATCGATACCTTTCCACGGACACAGCTACAGTATGCACCCCCGTCGAAATAAGGGCTTGGGTCCATTCATACTGGTGTGGCGGCACTTCGTTTGAGTCCACTAGCGAGAGGATCACCCTATACTAAACGGAGCCGGAGCACTCCGAAGCGCTCCGGAGCTTGGCGGCGAGTTCAAAGCGGAGCGCGAACCGAACCGAGCGGGGGAAAGTGTATCCCCACTCCGCCAGTATTTCGAGGTTACGCCACAGTATAGGAAAGAACAGTAGGCTCACTACGCTTTTTGGCAGAGTGATCCTACTGTTCTTTCCTATACTGTGACCACGGCTTGAACGCAGAGCATACCCAACACTCTCGTGGTTCGGCCTGCGCTAACGGCGCGCTCTGATTGGACAGTGTTTTTCGTTAATAACTCGAAAACGAAGCCTTAACCAACATTTTGACAAAGGAAAAAGTTGTTTAGAATGACCTCACCAATCATCCCTCTTTGGCTCTTACCCCAGTTCTGGGACACCCTGTATAACCTAACCTAACCTCACCTACTACGGTTTGATATTCGTACATAGACGAACAAAGTGTTACCTTCTGTTCGTATATGTAAGAAGATAGTTATGCTTGTGACTGTGTTTTAGGTCCACACTCATGGGTAAAATTCTGTAATTAGTAAAAAAGTTGTTTGCGAATAATTCATTTATAAGACATCTATATGTATATGTAAGATATAGATAAGGTACATGTAAAGTATATGTAAGATATAGATAAGGTACATGTAAAGTATATGTAAGATATCTTTAGGCCATTCATAAGACATCTTTAGAACGTCTGTAAGGCATCTGTAGGATATCTGTACGACATCTTTAAGATATCCTGTTTTCTAACATAGGATGTTTACAGGACGTATTTCAGGCATTCGCAGGACTTTTCAGATGTTCATAAGATATCTTCAATATCTGGAACAGATATCTTTAAGATGTTTTCGCGATGTCTCTGTGCTATTTGGGAAATAATTAAAAATTACTAATGACTTCTGCATTCAGATTGCTCGGGACTCGCGTCAGAGTATGTAAATTGTAGAAAGCACTGAAGCGACAGCGCACACGGATGGAAGCAGATATATGCTTATGTAAAGTACGAACACCAATTGCCCTGTAGATGGAAACAGTTGTGGCAACACTGCAACCGTTCTATACACGTATACGTCTCTTTACTTTATCGTAGTCGATAAGGAAGTTGTGTCAGTGAGGTATGGTAACAGAACGACTGTTATACCATGTTGCGTGTCCGTCGCGGAAAAATAGGGATATTCGGGGATTTAGGTGCAGGTGTGACAGTCCGTGGAGCGCCTCTGCGCTCCGCTCTCAAGGCGCGGATATACAAAATAATAAACTGTAATTTTGTTTAGAGTACTTTAATACTTTGTATTTCAATTTAAATCGGAACTTTAAACTTTGCGTTATTAAGGCTTAGACCCTTCTGAGTGAGAACGACTTGTTCGTAACGAGTGACAAAATCATTCTGACAATTCTGCGCTTGGCGGAGGAGATCTTCGCGCGTTGTCGGTCGATGCCCCTTCCTTGGTGGATCCTGGATCCTCCCTCAGGATCATCCCTCGTCCAATGGTGGAGGAGTCCACCCCGTCTCGTGTGGGCCCCTTCTACTGGCTGTGGTCCACCCTCAAGCGCGTGGAAGTGGAGGCGCTCCGCCAAGACGCTAGAATGTTGCAGCGCACATGTGCTACGAGAAAGCGTGGGACCCAGAGAAATTAGGAAACGACAAGACCTTGTACTTGCCAAAGCAACTCTTGAGGAAATTTACGACCCTCTTAGAGTGCATGAAAAGACAGGATATCGAAAAAGACTTCGTAACCCTTAAGGACCGTTCGTGACTTGGTCGAAAACAACGAATTAGCTATGGTCTATCATAAATTAGTTTTTTAAGAATTTTCAAAGTGAAACTATTCCATTCTCTGGACTTCCGGCCTTCTCTCAGCTCTATCACCCACGTCGAGGGGTTTACAATTTACTCTTTGTCTATTTATATAAGGATACGCATAGACGATGTTTGAATTTCGCTCTTAATTTATGACCATCGATACAAAAGGTCCTCGAAGAACATTCGAAAGATATCGATACAATAGACTATCGATGAATATTCCCATGGCAGTGTCGCCACACCACTCTAAACATATTCACGTGATAACGTTTCACGTTACACACGTTACAACTGTTGCGTGTGGATTTAATGTTCTAGGGATTTTCTTTATAAAAGGCTGAACGTGGGTAAGGTGCCCGTGAAGCGCTGAAGCGCTTTGCTCGTGGCGCGGCGTTTAATAAAATGAAAACACTTTGCGTTTTAAAGATATATTTGGTAAATACTTTATTATTTGCTTTTCAAAATCTAGTCGGGTTGAAGCTTTGAATCGTTCTGAGCTTGGCGGTGAAGATCTTCGATCGATGTTGGCTGCCATCCCCTCCTCGCTGGATCCTGAATCCTCCCTCAGGATCATCCCTGGCCCAATGGTGGAGGAGTCCATCCTTGTCCGGAGGCGGTCCCTCTCCCTGGCTTCGGTCCACCCTCAGGCGAGTGGAAGATGGTGGTGCTCCGCCAAGACTCGAGAACGATTCCATGCACACGTGCTAAGAGAAAGCGTGGGATCCAGAGAGAACGAAAAATAAAAAGGTCTCGCGCTAGCGAGCCAAGGCAACCCTTAAGAAAATTTACGACCCTCTGTAAATAAGCAGGATGTCGAAGTGATTTCGACAGTTTCAAGAATCAACATGATTTTCGTTAAGAGTAATGAATTAGATACGGCCCGCAATATATTAGTTTCTTAGAAACTTCAAGTGTGACAGTCTTATTTCTCTGGTTTTCCAACTCTCTCCCAGCACGACCACCCGCGCTGAACGATTTACAATGTCCTTTCCTTTGTTTGTTTATTACTTTGAATTTTGGCTCCTAATTTATGAGCATTGATATAACATAATGCAGACATGCTGCAACCATACTCTTATGGCATCGTCGCCATATTACATTTCATTCAATGCTTGTGATTACAAGCTTGCAGCTAGATTCACACGATATTGCACACATACATACAGGCGAGGTTCGCAACACAACCAATTGTGGAAATTTAACTTCATACTGGGGTACCGCATACCCTCAAAATGGCCACCCATCGGTAACAAAAGCATGACCAGTCTTATTGGATTTGTAGTTACTGGGTTATGTGTCAAAGCAGAGCACATAACCTAATCAATCCTTGCATATCCAAATCAGTACAATATTCAAATACTAAATCAACCTTTAATATAAAGAAGATCCTGTAATAGCCACACACCACGATCAAGGAAAGGAACAAAAGAATTAAAGGTAACGATAGCAGTTAGTTCTTAAATTATTCACAGCTGTGAGTACAAATTAACTGAGATCTGCTTAAAAGATTTAATTGCAAGAAAACAGGAGAGCAGAAGAAGCACAAGAGTAAGAACAAGGGCTCAAGTATTAAGTATTGAAAATATTTCAATAGACAAGTTCTAATAAACAAAAGTCACAGTCACTTCAACCCTCAGCACCCTGAGGTAATGTGGTATATACAGATATATAAGAAGGTAACTAATAGTTAATAACACCTCATCATTTTACAGTGAAAAGTTATGTAGACAGGGCAGAACCACAACTTAAGAAGGGCTGGATATCAACATAATGCATCGACAGGATGAGCTGTCAGAAGGAGCAAGAGCCTGAGGGTTAGGGTTAGGGTTAGGGTTATGAATTATCCCTACACAAATTTGGTTTAGAACAATGTTAATACCTTAATAACAGCAATAGCAACAATCATGATTGTAGTTAGCCAAGAACAAAAGGCAGCATTTACCATTTATAAAATATGAGCAGACAGACTGTGTTTAACAAGCGAGTAATAATACAATAAAATAAAGCAGAATAAGTAACTGCAACAGTGTTCAGAGATGTGCCCACATCATTATGTACAAGACATAAACTGGTAGGTAAATAATAAGTAAAATCGACAGATAAATAAGATGAAAGAAATAAAAATAGAAACCCGAGTCTAGGGGTTACAACAGAAACCTCACAAAGGTACGTAGATTAAAATAAACATATTACATTTAATACATACAGAAGTAGCCTATACTCTAGATTTCCTTAAAAACATAGCCAACAATGCAATCTCAGCAACAATGCCAAGACAAAATTGGCTAAAATAATGCATACTTGACAGGGACAGAACATAAACATAATCATAGATTGGTAAAACAGAAATCTAACTTAATAAAGTGAAATGTAAATCCGCTACAGTTACTCCCTTCCGAGCATTTGCTAAATTATTTTAAATATTAAATGTAATTTTTTTTTTCTCTTTAGGTCCAGGATATGTTCTTAAAGTTTCTTGTCTTTGAGTTGATGAGGTTCCAAATAAATTCTCATCATTAGAATCATCCAAAAAACTTACCAAATAAGCTAGTTTTAGTCTCTGTGTAGAAACACTATTGGTTGTCCATTTACCTTGATAACAAAACTCTACACAAAGGCCTTTCTAAAACTTCAGAGGGACCCTCATATGAAGGAGCTAGAGGTGGCTTAACACAATCTGAATATAAAAAGACATGAGAACTTTGTAGAATTGGAAACAAAAATACCATCTTTTTAATATGATGAACAGTTATCAGAGGTTTTAAAAATTTCAAATGTCCTCTTAAATTTTGTAAGAAGATCTTGCGATTAACTGGAGGTTCTTCATCCAAAAAGATTTCTTCAGGTAATCTCAACACAGATCTATAAACTATCTTTGAAGGGAGAAACTCCGATGTCTTCCTTGTTAACTGTTCTTACGATTAAACCTAATAAAACTGTCGGTAAAATTTCTTTAGTTCTGTAACAAGAAATTACTGCCTTTAATGATCTATGCTAGCGTTTAATCATTCCATGCGAAGTTGGATGATAGGCAGTAGTCCTTATACCGTTGAATCCAACTATTTCGGCTAAAGTTTTAAAAACTTCCGATTCAAATTGACTTCTTCTATCAGTTGTAATAGTAACTGGTGCACCAAATCTTGATACCCAAGTCGAAAAGAAAGTAGTAGCAACTGTTGTAGCTGAAGTTTTTTAAATTGGAATAGCCTCAGGCCAACGTGTAAATTTGTCAATCATGGTTAAATAATAACGAAACTGTTTACAAATTGGTAATGGGCCAACAATGTCTATATGAACATGATAAAACCTCCCCTCTGGAACAAGTATACGTTTTCGGAATGTTCTGACATGGAATGCAAGTGCGTACCCATTCAGCCGTTTCTTTTAATATTTCTGGCCAAATAAATCTTTGAGACAAAAGTTTTTTTGTCATTCTACTTCCAGGATGAGTTAAATTATGAACAACTTGGAAAACTTTCTTTCTCAAAATTTTAGGAACATATGGTCTGATATTTTTTCCGACAATATTACAAAATACTTTAGTATTTGAATCACCAATTCTCAATTTTCTTTAAGTTCTTCATCAACCTGTTGTGCTTCTGCCAACTCTTCGGTAGTGACCACAATAGGCATGTCAATAGTTTCTACTCATGAAAATGAATCTGCAACAATGTTTTCGTTTCCACGAACAAAAATAATTTTTGTTGAAAATTGACCAATAATATGTAGATGTTGAAGTTGACGAGTTGATGCTTTTGATGATTTTTGTTGCAAAGCAAAAATTAAAGGTATTTATGGTTAGTTTGAATAGTTAAGTCTCTTCCGTCAATCATGTATCTGAAAAATTTAATCCCTCAATAAATTGCTAATTATTCCCGATCGTGTATACTATAATTCTTTTGAGAATTGCTGAATTTTTGTGAGAGAAATCCTAAAGGTTGCCAAACTGCATCGACCAACTGCTCAAGTGTAGCATCCATGGCTGCATCAGAAGCATCGGTTTTTAAAGTTAAAGGAGCATTATCTAAGGGACGCGATAATAATGTCGCCGAAATTAATTGCTTCTTTGTTTCTTCAAAAGCTTCAATTTGTTCCTTGGACCAATTAATAATTCTTTTATCTTTTTTTCTTCGCAACAGCTAATAGAGAATGTAGTGGAGCTTGAATTTGTGCAGTAAGAGGAATAAATCTTCTATAAAAATTGATAATTCCAAGAAATCTTCTTAATTCAGTCCTGTCCTTTAGAAGATTGTAATCTTTCAGTGCCATTACTTTATCCTCCAAAGATTTAATTCCATCAGCAGAAACTGAATAACCTAAATATTTAACTTCGGGCTTCCCGAAAACACATTTGTTAAAATTAATTGATAAATTATGTTCTTTTAGCCGCTGAAAAACAATCCTTAAATGTTTTTCATGTTCAATTTCATCTTTTAATGCAATAACAATGTCATCTCCCAGATAGCACAGAGATATCGTTAAACCATCCTAAAGATATCTGTTCCAGATATTGAGGATATCTTACGAATGTCTGAAAAGTCCTGCGGTAATTATTGAGATTAGGGGCACAGACTCCTTGTGTCATGACCTGTATTCGTGCACTCACACAATCAACGGAAAGCATGCACGTATACGCCATGTGTGAGAGAGACACTCGATTTCGTAGATTCCATTTTTCGTCTCGATAATTGCATAAATGAAATTTTCGCGGGTACAGCACACACGGGTAGACTTCGCTACAGGTCGGTCTGGTCCGCTTGAACGATAATAAACATCATACGTTGAGAAAAATGGAATTTTGGAAACTGTACGATTGAGACAGACGCTGTTGTAAGCAAACAACATGGCTGCCGAATGCTGCGTTCGGCTACATTTTAGCGAATATTGGACGATTTAATCGTTTTTTCACTGATAACAGAGCAGACCAACTTCCCTTGAACTAGCACAATATCACTGAAATTCGATTTTTCACAATTTATCACTTATGGAAGACGTAAAATGGAATCTACGATTTGCACGCATCAGACGTCAAATAGACATAAGAATAGTTCAGTGATTCTCCGTCAGAGGCATTGATGGTATATTTGACCACGTTATCATCAGGGTCGATAAAAACACAGATCAGTCGATAAATGTAAATTCTAATTTGACACCACAAATGGCTACGCGAATATAGCCACAAGTATGGCATAGTTGCCGCAACGTATTAAGACTTCTGTCACGCTGTTGCCACATCTGTTACAATTGCAACAGGCTCGAGCCGATTTTGATTCCTGCCAGACATAGAAAAGAATAGGGCGCTCGAGAGAGAAAGAGGTTCGAGAATGAAACAATACATGTACTAATGTGTGCAACCATCAAACTTTTTTATTCATATTTATAATCATGTTTTTTTCATCAATTAAATTACAGATAGAATACTTGAAATGGTATGCCAGAAAAATGAATTATAAAACTTGCACCATATACAGTGAAAACTCGATAAATGTACATAATTATTGCCGGTCGACTCCGCAACTGTTATGGAATAGGAGAATCATTTTTCAAATTTGATTGCCTAGTCAGTAAACACTGATTAGAAAGAGTCAGTAGCTAAAGACGAAAGAGGGACTAAAACCGGGATTTATTGCCTTCATTTAAATGCCCCGTGTCAATGTGACCATACTAATGCACAGAATAAAGTTTTTTATTTTGTACTTTTTGTTAATAAAAATTTCACTATCATGTGGAGAAGATTTTTCTGATTAAAATGAAGCTAAACACAATATAAATCGGTCAACATTTAATAGCATAATATTGGGTTAAATGTTGTGCTTGTGAGTCTTTCTCTCTTTGTTTATCTTTCTTGCGCTATCCTTTTCTATGTTCGGAAACATCAAAGAACGGCGGATTCGTGGTGCTGGTAGGGGTAGAATGAAAGAAATAATACACATAACGTAAGTACGCGGCTATAAGACTTATAGGAATGAAAACTACCTGACATAATAATTTCAAGAAGGGAATAAGAAATAAAGAAATGAATAATGAATTTTAATATAATTCTGTCACACTTAGACTGGGACACCCTGTATATGCAGGTACAATTATATTAAAATTCATTATTATATTTCAAATGAAAAAGATTTCAATAACACGTGGCTGGAGTGGCTGTCATGGGAATCGACGATGTAGACGGCGCGGAGAAAGAAGAGGCATTGTTTATATTTATTGATTATATTTCAATCGATAAATATTGTATATTATAGATCAATTTACATGTCTTTATTTTTCATTCCTTTCCTGAAATTATTAATGCCATATAGTTTTTATTCCTATAAGCCTTATAGTCGCGTACGTTATGTGTATTACAGAGTCTCATCGAATCTGTCGTAGCGTGTGACTATATTTACGCCGATCGGCCCTACGTTGTTTCATTCATGATACTCCTTCTCTTTCTCTCGCGCTGTCCTTTTCTATGTCCGCCAGGAATCAAAATCTCGCTCGGCTCGAGCAAATTCATTTTGCTAGATGGTCACAGATGCGGCAACACCGCGATAGAACTCTCAAATGATGTGATTTGGCAACTATGCCACCTCACTTTCGTTTCTTATTCTGCATAATGACGTTAGATGTCACACCGTCAAATGTCGAATTTCTCAATTATGTGTTTTCACGATTGCCCGATTCTTTCCAATGGCGCTTACATCGATTCAGAGGAGGCCTCGAAGGAGTCTGTGCCCTTAGGTTACACCAGTGATGCCAGAACCGTGGGACGTGGGACAAATCTTTACCCTCTCCACGACGTCCCACGACGTCCCAGTGACTCCCCTACCGCAGTTGTTTCATCTAACACAAGCGCGTTGTCCCACGTGTCCGTGTGAGCTCTCTGCGGGTTTGGCAGAGTTCGGCTGCTCTCGTCATTTCTACGTTATCGGCTCGATGCTCAAGCCGCTAAAGCACGAGGCAGCAGCATCGACGAATCGACAAAATAATATAATTTCGTGCATGGCAATATGGCTGAATTAAGAAACCAGGAGAATCAGTTCGAATCCCGAATTTACGGTTTCAGTTCTGATTCTTAATACATTAACTTTTTTCTAATACATAAAAATACATTTTTGATACATTAATACTATGAAATACATTAACTTGGAAAGCAGTTAAAAAAAGGAGTTGAACTGCATCTTTCTTTGATATTTTTTTTAATATTTAAGTTTTATATATATACATATGTATGTACGTACATATGATAAAAGTACGTGATACAGAAGTAATTTCTTCAATTAGATATTACTGTTATTCTAACTATTACAATACGTAAATTCGAAGACATACGAGGAAAATTGGTTAGGTTAAATTGTAAGGATATAAAGAAATTTCAATCTTTAACGGTTTGTCAGTTTTATTTCTTATTCCTTACAACTATTATAATTTTATTCTCTGAATGGTCATTACAATGAAAGATGGATTAGATACAATTTGATTCCTCATTTAATTTGTTATATACATATCAGGTTTCTTGCAACTGTTGCACCTGGTCCACGCTTACACGATATTGCATATTTTACTTTCCTATAATACAACAAGGAAACAAAATTATAATATAATGATTACCATAATACAATAGAAAATGTTAAGCTTGGTATAAACCTTCTTTTTTTTGTGTACTTAATCTGCAGTTACGCTTCGTTGCTTTATAATGACTGATTTTTCTTTTGAATGAAACTTCCACTAGCGTATTGATGAAATTTTTCGATTAAAACAAGATCAAACACGACGTAATTTGAATTATAGTTACTTTATATATTTGCATTAGGTTTTAAATAAATAAGTAAATATAATGCAAATTATGTCGTGTTTGGTCTTATTTTGATCAGAAGAACCTTCCAATTACATTGGTAAAAGTTTCATTTAGCAAAAATGAAAAATAAAAAAGTTATGGTTAAATTAATATTGTCTCACTCAAATGTTTTTTCTCGGGCCCTTTAATTCTCGGACCTCCTTCTCTTTCGCTATTTGTCTTTTTCTACGTTCGCCAGCATTCAAGAACTCGCTCGAGCTGTGTCGTTCTGCCAGCCTCGCACACTTTTAGGAGAATCGGGAAAATCCAGCATAATAACACGTTCTATGCAGAAAGAATATACTAACTTATCTGTTTAATAAAATTTTAATAAATCTGGCAATAGATTTATTTTCTGACTGCTTTTCTTAAGTAATCAGAATTTCACCATTCTCCTGTACAGATCGTGTGTAGCAGTTTGTAGCAAACTCAACATATTTTCGATATTATGTCTAATATACAACCGATCGAAAAATATTAAAAATCCAGGATATTTTGTGCCGTTTTTTATATGTCAAGGGCCATCGAATTGAAATAAATGACCAACAATGAATATTATAATAAAGGTGATCGCTGTTCATCTATTTCCTTTCTACGATGTATTTCTTCCACAAGAGACGGTTTCCTAACCGAAATGTCTCTGATTTTTTCAGAATTTTCGAATGTCATTAAATACGAGAAATTGGCCAAAAACTTCGCGATTACATTTTTACCCGTAACTACCCTCCCAGATGAGATACAGGGTTGAAACTTAGCACAGACTGGTTTTTTTTGATCGCCTATCGAATGGTTCATAGCAAGTCGAATTTGGTTTGGGGGCACTTTTGACCATCTTATCCGGCTATACCCTTTAAATATGTTGTAAAACTCAACATTTTGAACAACTTTTTCCTATACATATAACCGCCGCTCGGCCTTAGTTTTCGAGATATTTTCGAAAAACTGTTGAGACTAATACATTGAATTCTGGCCATCCGTGTGTGTCCGTGACAACGTACGCATTAGTATGGGATCGCCGCTTTTCTACTGTTTTTGCAGGCAGCAGCACGGCGACCGACATCAATATACATATATACACATATATTACGGGTGGGCTTAAAAATTGAATTTAACTAATTTTCATGATTTTGAATCTCAGCATGTGTGTCTGGTCGCCGTTAGGCGACCAGAATATCACTTTACCCTAACCTATCTTAATTCACTGATTAGGTAGAGTAGATTGGGTTAGGTTAGGCTATATTAAATTCCCAGCTGCCATCATAGCTACGATATATTGAAATCATGAATGCAGAAGTATACAAAGTATATATTTGTCATCGGTCGCCGTGCTTGTTAGCGTCAGCACGTGTTCAAGGGTTGACACGTGTCAGGGTCAATGCATT